GTCTTAGATCTTTCCTGAGTCGTGCCCTCAGCATGTGCATGACTTTCGGAATTCTCCCATACACACAGGCATTTTTCAGGGTTCTAATTTCTGTAAGAAACCCTCTAGTCTTACTTCCCAGGCCTTAATAATCCATTGTGTGCCTCAATGTAATCATGCTCGTTCTTGCATTGTTTTTGAGCAATGCCCGTTGCTCTTTGGCCCAAGTTCCAAGTTAGTCAACGGAGATTAGCATCTTTATTAGTTTTTCAGACAACAGACATTTAAATTTTTTTTTTAATTTATTTTTTTAAGATTTATTTAATTATTTGAAAGTCAGAGTTAGAGAGAGAGGTCTTCCATCCATTGGTTCACTTCCCAGTTGGCCACAACAGCTGGAGCTGTGCCTATCTGAAGCCAGGATCCAGGAGCTTCTTCCAGGTCTCCCACGTGGGTGCAGGGGCCCAAGGACTTGGGCCACCTTCTACTGCCTTCCCAGGCCATAGCAGAGAGCTGGATTGGAAGTGGATCAGCTGGGTCTTGAACTGGCGCCCAAATGGGATGCTGGCGCTTCAGGCCAGGATGTTAACCCATTGCACCACAGCACTGGCCAGACATACTTAATTTGTAAATAAGGTCTGTTCTGGTCCCTGTGAAGTCAGGCACCAGGGTCCCACACTAGGAACACGGACTGTTTATTTGCTTCCTCACTGAAGTTCCATGAGAGCAAGCATCTTGTCTGTCTGAATTTATCACTGTTTCCTTCACTCTGAAAGCAGGGCTTGGGTTATAGTAGACACTCAACAGATTTTAGATGAACCAGTGAATGTACGCCGTGTAAGGATTTGTAGAATGTGATGAACATAAGAGTGAGCTCAAAATGTTCATGTAAATGGTGAAATGCCTGTGGGAGTTAATGGGGTGGGATTTGTGTCAGCAGTGAACGGTACGTTTTACCTAAATAGAAAAAATATGGTAAAGGGCAAAAAGGAATATTTACAAGTATCTGTGGAAGCTGAAAAGGGTGGCCGAGGAGAACTTCTTGGGTAAGCAATGGAGGAGAAACGTGATTTCATTATGGAAGGTGTTTTATAGACTACTGAACCTTGTACTTCTCTATACTGGCACATGACTGAATCTGTAAGTAATTTACTTGCTTGTTTATCGTCTGTCTTCCCCATCTTAATAGAGTTGGCCCTCCCTGAAATACGCTGAGGTATGCATGTGCATACATGAATGCCATGTCCCTAGGAGGACCTAGAGGAGGACACATTGTAAATTAATCAAGTCAAACAAACATCCAGTGAGGACCTGCTGGGTCCCAGAGAGTGTGCTTTTGGCTGGACACAAAGAGAGTGACCTAGTCCCTGCACAGAGTGAGCACAAGGTCAGCTGAGGGGTGAAGGGCAAGTGAGCACTGGACAAGAAAGAGCCCAGACAACAGGCCCAGGAGATGCCAAGTGCCCTGGCAGAGACGCACATGGTGCTAAGTGAACTCAGGCAAGAGCCAGGTGAGCCAGGTTGGGGGATCAGGAAAGGCTTCCTGGAGTCAGCCAGACGCAGGGCACTGGAAGGGACCTTCCTGACCAAACAGCGCCTGGGACCTGGACAGGGCAGGGCAGGTTGCAGGAGCAGAGAGAGACTCAGGAGAGCAGAGCTCAGGTAGGAGCATGGGGTGGGGAGGGATGTGTGCATCGCTGGGAGAGGTTTCACAAGTGTATCTCTATGTCAGAACTCACCACTCGCAGTGCGTGGTCACTGTTCCTCAATTACATCTCAAGAGAAACCTAAGCACTAGAACACTAGAAAACAGCAGCTGTTAATCAAAGGGCATAACATTTTGAAAGGAATATGTTCAAGAGATCTGTTGTAGAACATGCAGACTACAATGAAGAATAATATATTGTATTCATGAGGATTGCTGGGACCACCATTGTGGCACAGTGGGTTAAGCTGCTGCCTGCAACGTCAGCATCCCATATCAGCATCAGATCGAGTCCCTCCTGCTCTACCAGCTCTCTGTTGTGGCCTAGGAAAGCAGTGGAAGATGGCCCATGCACCCACGTGGGAGACCTGGAAGAAGCTCCTGGCTCTGGGCTTCAGAACTGCTCAGCCTGGCCCTTGTAGCCATTAAGAGGAGTGAACCAGCAGAAGGAAGATATCTCCCCCTCCCTTCCTCCCTCCCTTCCTTCTCTCCATAACTATGCCTTTCAAATAAATAAACCTTTAAAAAAAATTGCTAAGAAACTAGGTTTTTAGTGTTCAGTCCACAAAAAATATGAGGTAATGCGTATGTTAATCAGCTTGATTTAGTCATTCCACAAGTATGCATTTTTCCTAACATATTGTACATGACAAATACAAATACAAAATAAAAAACTAAAAATTAGCTTTTACTGATAAAAATCTATAGAAACACTTTTTTATGATAATTTTAGGTGCTTATGGAATTCCCATTGTTAACCCCTAACACTACCTAACACCTGAGCTTCTTAAGTGAATAAGGTAGATTTAACAACTGTGGAATGTATAACGCCTTACTCTTTCATTTGTGTACTTTTTCAAAGTGATATTGTCACTGTCTGCTTTTAAAATAAATAAAAATAAAAACGGGTAGGCGAGGTAGTGCAGTGGCTTAAGCTGCTGTTTGTAAAGCCAGCAGCCCACATCAGAGTGCTGATTTGAGTTCCAGCTGCTCCACTTCCAATCCAGTTTCCTGCTAATGCACTTGGAAAGGCAGCAGATGATGGCCCCTGCCACCCATGTTGGAGTCCAGGATGGAGTTTTCATAGCTCCTGGATTTGACCTAGCCCAGACCCACCTGTTGTAGCCATCTGGGGAGTGACCCAGTGGATGGAAGATCTGACTCTCTGTCCTTCTGTCACTCTACCTTTCAAATATACACAAACCTTTAAAGTAAATGAATGGTTAGCCAAGACACTGTGGGAAAAAAAATATCCTACATGAAGGATCTCTGTGAGTGAGACCCCAGTGGGAAGAAGGGGCCATCAAAGAAGGATGTACTTTTCTCTGAAGGGAGGAGAGAACTTCCACTTTGCTTGGGCCTGTCTAAATAACATTGGAGTTTGTAGACTCAAAAGGCTTCCATAGCCTTGGCAGCTCAAGGCAAGAGCCTCGGGTGATCATTGATGTCATAAAGAGTGTTAATTGTTAAATTAACAACAGAAATCACTGTGCACTTACTCTTCATGTAGGACCTCTGTCCTTAATGAGTTGTACTATGAGAATTAACTGCAAAACTTGTTCTCAACCGGTACTTTATATGTTGTATGTGTGTGTGGGTTCAAACTGTTGAAATCTTTACTTAATATAAGTTGGTCTTCTGTATATATAAAGTTAAACTAAAGATGAACCTTAATGAAGAATGGGATAGGAGAGGGAGTAGGAGGTGGGACAGGAGTGGGGCTGTGAGGGTGGGTATGGAGGGAAGAACCACTATATTCCTAAAGTTGTACCTATGAAATTTGCATTCATTAAATAAAATCTTTTATAAAAACAAATAAGTGAGTAGAATGACATTGTCCTAGGAGCACTCTATCAAGTGAAGTAGTGGTTTGTAACTTGGTGTCCCAGACCCCAGATCCTCAAAAGTGATGGAGATTCTTGAGCTTGTTTTCATTATTGGCAAAGGCCCTGTGCTAATTACATTGTTTTTCTTCAGTCTTCTTAGAATCCCTAAGAATTTTTTTTTTTAAACTTCAAGCTGAAAAAATAACACACAGTGAGGCAATACTGGTAGATTCAGGCTGGGTGGAAGCTTGGATTAGCTGGGTTTCTCTCCCTCTCTCTCTCTCTCTCTTACTCTGAGAAAGATATCTTCCATCCACTAGTTCACCCCCCAAACTGTCTACAATGGCCAGGGCTGGGCCAAGACTGAAGCCAGGAGCCAATGAATGCAGCCCAGGTCTCACACCTAGGTGGGAGAAACCCAGTTAGTTGAGTGATCGCCTGTTGCCTCCTAGGGTCTGGATAAGCAGAAAGCTGAGTCAGGGGCTAGAGCCTGGAATCAAACCCTAACACTGATGTGGGACGTGGGTGTCTTAACCACCAGGCTAAATACCATTCCTAGATTCCATTTTCCTGAAATACAATGAAGCTGTTACTAAGTGCAGTCTCATTTCATACACAAATCCTCCAAAACTTTGGGGGGAAAAGTAAGCAAAACGGTTCTTAGTAGTAAAAGAGAAACCCTTGAGCCCAGGAGTTCTCAGTCCAAAGGGCAATGGTAGTTACCTTTTCCCATGAGCTGCCCAATGTGGCTTCCCAAGCATTTCAGCAGAATTTCTAGCTTAGCCGATGTTCTGCCATGTTGAGGTGAGATCCGGGGGGCTCAGAACAGGTGAGGAAAGAACTTCCAAAACCAAACAGCCTTCAAGAAGAAAAGGCTAAGAGAAACCCTCCCTGCCGCCTTTTGTTTTGCTATTGGCACCTGGAGCAGGGATTTTGAATTAATATGTATACCCCTTTGCTATCTGACAGGCATTTTATATGCACCTGCAATGCCCATTTCACAAATTTGGTTGAACAGTTAGTGAAAACTGAAGTAGGCTCACGATACCAGACATATCTGTCACTTGAGGCTGTGACACCATGCTGTACGGGGACACTGACTCATTTCTGGATTTCCTGGGTCTGAGCCAAGTAATGACCGGTCCTGGGCGAGCTACTTAACATTTTCCAGCTCCAGCATCTCCATTTGCAACCTGGGAGTGGCTTTGCCTTTCATAAGGTGGTTGTTAGAAGACAGAAAGTGCAAAAACAGTGCTTAATACAGTGCAGGGAAATTGTCAGTGGTTGAAAAAATGGTACCTACCAGCTTTAAACAGCTTCCCTGGGCCGCGTGCTTTCTGACGTGCGCTGGTGAGGATGCTCTGTCCATTTCCCGACACACAGTAGTCAAACCCTCGGGCCTCGGGGCTTGTCAGTTCTATCCCATCCACGACTCCCATGGCCGCACGTCTCGTGGGCCACCTCCCAAAGACTACAACTCCCGGCATGCCATGCTCTCGGCGGTGGAGGCCCCGCCCCTTCCGCTCGGCCCACACGTGGGCACCGCCTCCTCCCGTTGCCCCGCGCGTGGGCTCGCTATGGAGGCCGGATGCTGGTTGTTCGGTTGCGAGTTCGAGGATTCGGTGTTCGAAGAAAGGCCCGAGCGGCGGCCTGGGCCTCCAGTGTCCTACTGCGCCAAGCGCTGCGAGCCGCAGGTGAGAGGGCCTCAGACGCCGCCGCCTTGCTTCTCTGCCTGTGCGCTCTCGGGGCTCCCGGTCAGCCCTTGAACACCCTGGGCCGCGCACGGACGCGTGCCCTGGTCTCGCCCTGGCCCTGAAGTCTGCAGTAACCCCCGGTCGCCTTCCCTGGTCCCGCCGCCGGCGGCCACCGCTCACCTGTCCAAATCCTGGCCCACCCTCTAGGTCCGGCGGACCCTCCCTCCCCTCTTCTCCTGACCCCTCGGATAGTCACATTTGTTCAGGTATGCCCATTTAAGGCGCAGCTCAAATGCTGCTGCTTCCAGGAAGCCTCTCCTGATTTCCTCTTCAACCAAATATTTGTGGCTTCCTCCCCCCCCCCCCACCTTTAGCTTCTGATTGAAGCACTTGTCATTAAGTCCTCAGACCCAGAGCGCTAAATGACCACACGGAGGGAGTGGGTCTGTAACGCGATGCCCGCCAACAGGAACTCCGTGATATTGTTACTTTGTATCATCCCAGCAAGCACTTATGGAAAACTGCAGTGTTGGGGGCGGTGCGCTGGATTCCTTTACCTGTGTTGTCGCCTCTGTTCCCCCACAACGATTTGGACTTAACAGATGCCAGGCTCCGACACCTCCTGCATTTTTGTTTGGGCTCATTTTCTCCTCCTTTGGCAATCTTTCTACATCACTTGCTGTGCTGCATCCTGTAGACGGAAACCAGGGAAGGGGCTTGGGCAGGCTCCTACTGGAGCCGGAAAAGCTCTGGTGATGGCTGAGGACCCCCGTCCGGGGTTGGCAGGGTCGGCCATGCACTTGCCTTCCTGGGTGTCCCTCGGTCGTTTGGAAAAATAACACTGGCTGGCAGGGTTACTGTTGAGAGTGAAGTGAGATACTGCATACGGACACACTTTGTCCGAGTGATGTGCTGTGTCCTGATACGGTGAAATCCAAAAGTCACTTGAGGATTTGTTGCGAGGTGAGTGTGAAAACCTTCTGCCCATAGACAAACCCAGAGAGGTCTTCACTCAAGTCGTGTTAGTTTCCCCAGGTGTGGACTGGGAGTTTGGCTTAGAAGAGTGCCCAGGATCGGCTGGGACACATGACCTGTTAGTCCCACCTGTGTTCACACCTCCCCCCAACCCCCCATCCAGAGGGGTGTCTGAGTTTACAACCATCATTTGAAAGCCACTTTTACTTGCAGTAAGAAAGTGAACACTTGGGGGTCCATAGAGATGCAGACCTTGTTGAGGTTCAGATTGGCTGATCTAAAACAGTCTGTGCCCAGAGAACAGCAGAGTGCACAGGAAAATTGTGGCTGAAGCGCAGGTGTTGCTGAGTTTCACAGCACTGGAGGGACAACAGTGGTTCCTCGCTTTCTCCGGGCTGTTAGTGGGCCAAGGAGAAGCGTGTTTTGCTAAGGTAACGGGGCAGTGACACTCAGATGACTCCTTTAAAACAGGAGCAGGCTGTTTGGCTTTTTGGTTAAGTTTTTTTTTTTTTTTTTTTTTTTTTTAAACATTTTATTTATTTGAAAGGCAGAGAGAAAGAGAAAGAGAAAGAGATGAATCTTCCAATTGCTGGTTCGGTCCCCAAATGCCCCCAGTAGCCAGGGCTGGGCCACGCAAAAGCCTGGGGCCTGAAACTCAGCCTGGGCCTCCCATTTGAGTGGCAGGAACCCACCTACAGGAACCGTCACTAGCTGCCTCCCCAGGTGCAGACGAGCAGAAGAGCGGAGTTTGCTGGGATGCAAACCCAAGCCCTCGGATATGGGATCTAGGGTCACGTGCTCTGTCATAACTAGTGCCCAGAGTGTACCCCCCACCCCGCCCAGCCCCGCGAGAACAAGCAGCTCAGACGCAGAGCTGGGACCATCCCAAGTATAGTTATGTTTTCACTGACAGTACTTAGCTGGGCATGGCTTCATTTAGCCTCGTTGTGTTTTACTGCGAGTGAGGGGAGCATGAAGTCCTTGGAGCTGGAGCTGGGAACACTGGCACATGGGAGTGCTGGGCTCTTAGTTTTCCTTCTCTTCTCTTCTCTTCTCTTCTCTTCTCTTCTCTTCTCTTCTCTTCTCTTTTTTTTTTTTTTAAAGATTTAACCTTTCTCTCTGTCTCTCTCTCTCACTGTCTAACTCTGCCTGTCAAAAAAATAAAAAAGAGTTATTTATTTTTATTTGAAAGTCAGAGTTACACAGAGAGAGGAGAGGCAGAGAGTCTTCCAACCGATGGTTTACTCCCCATTGGCCGCAATGGCTGGAGCTATGCCAATCCGAAGCCAGGAGCCAGGAGCCAGGAGCCAGGAGCCTCCTCCAGGCCTCCCACGCAGGTGCAGGGCCCAAGGACTTGGGCCATCGTCTACTGCTTTCCCAGGCCACAGCAGGAGAGCTGGATCGGAAGTGGAGCAGCCAGGACTCGAACTGGTGCCCTTAGGGGATGCCAGCGCTTCAGGCCAGGGTGTTAACCCGCTGCGCCACAGCACCAGCCCTGGACTCTTAGTTTTCTATTCAGTAGTAAAGGAACTTCAGACTCAACTTTCCTTTCCGTCCATAGGATTTAAATTAGTGCAGAAGACGCAGGTGTTTGGCCTGGAGTTAGGATGCCTGGGTTCAACTTTGGGCTTTGGCTCCTGATTCCAGCTTTCTCACAGTACAGACCCTGGGAGGCAGTGATGATGGCTCAGGTCACTGGGTTTGCGCCACCCACATGGGAGACCTAGATTTGACCTCCTGGCCCTGGCTGGGCCCAGCCTGGGCCATGCAGGCGTTTGGGAAGTGAACCAGTGAATGGAGGGTGGTGTTGGTGTGTCTGTCTCTCTTTCTCAAAATACTTCTAAGTTAGAAAAGCAAGTAAAAGCTTGTCCTCAGACTCTTCTTCCATAGGTCTGATATCTGAGTGCATGAGAGCCTCTTTGTTAGTGGATGGGGTTCGCCACATCCTCAGCCCCAAGCAGGAGTTGCTCAGAGGACAGCTTTATTTACCTGTGACAGGAGAAGCACACAGTGGGAAGATGTAACTCCCTGAAGACACTGCCTCTAGGGCCGGCACTGAGGCCTAGTGGGTAGAGCCACCACCTGCAGTGCTGGCATCCCATACGGGCACCCCGGGTTCAAGTCCTGGCTGCTCCTCTTCCCATCCAGCTCTCTGCTGTGGCCTGGGAAAGCACTAGAAGATGGCCCACGTCCTTGGGCCCCTGCACCCGCGTGGGAGACCTGGAAGAAACTCCTGGCTCCTGGCTTTGGATCGGCCCAGCTGTGGCCGTTGCGGCCGTTTGGGGAGTGAGCCAGCGGATGGAAGACCTTTCTCTCTGTCTCTCTGCCTCTGCCTTTCTGTAACTACCTTTAAAATCAATAAGTAAATCTTAAACAAAAGAAAGACACTGTCTCCTAGAGAAGCAGTGTGCCAGGGCTCTTATAGTGAGGGTCAGGGGCCTGGCCGCCATGTGGAAAAGGGGGAGCGGCAGTAACGTCTTCACACATCGTAAGTTCAAAACCCTGGCTCAGACTGTCTCTCGCTGCTCTCCTGGTGGCTGGGCGCCGTCTGAGGACAGAGTTGCAAGGGGAGTATTCCTGGAGCATCTTCCCGAAACCAAAGAAGCAGTGAACTGTTCAGATTCTCTGCCCTGTTCCTGTGGCCCCCAGCCCTACCTTTTTGCCCAATTCCTGCACCCTTGGTTGTACTTTTCAGCCTGAAATTCTATCTTCTCTGCTTAGATTTTCCTTTTTTTGCCTTCACACATTTTTTTTAAAAGATTTATTTATTTGAAAGAATTACACAGAGAAGGAGAGGCAGAGAAAGGTCTTCTGGGGCCAGCTCCGTGGCTCACTTGGTTAATCCTCCGCCTGCGGTGCCAGCATCCCATATGGGCACTGGGTTCTAGTCTCGGTTGCTCCTCTTCCAGTCCAGCTCTCTGCTGTGGCCCGGGAGGGCAGTGGAGGATGGCCCAGATGCTTGGGTCCCTGCACCTGCATGGGAGACCAGGAAGAGGCACCTGGCTTCTGGCTTTGGATCAACGTGGTTCTGGCCATAGCGGCCATTTGGGGGGTGAACCAACAGAAGGAAGACCTTTCTCTCTGTCTGTCTCTCACTGTCTAACTCTGTCAAATAAAAAAAAAATAATAATAAAAGAGAGGTCTTCCATCCATTGGTTCACTCCCCATTGGCTGCAACAGCCGGAGCTGCGCCAATCCAAAGCCAGGAGCCAGGAGTTTCTTCCAGGTCTCCCACGTGGGTGCAGGGGCCCAAGCACTTGTGCCATCTTCCACTGCTTTCCCAGGCCATAGCAGAGAGTGGGATCAGAAGTGGAGCAGCCAGGACTAGAATCGGCACCTGTGTGGGATACTGGCATTACAGGCAGTAGCTTTACCCGCTCTGCCACAGTGCTGGCCCTTTCACACATCTTGTAATTCTTTCCATACAGAGTTGTCAGTGCCTCTTCCATGCTCTCTAAGCAAGCATACTTCACTTGAATGAACCACTGTAGCTGCACTAGTCAAGTGGAGGCTTCCGGGCACCACAACCCCTGTTGAAAATGCCGTAGCAAAAAAATGGCCGTGAAAGATCTCTGCAAGTGAGATCCCAGCGGAAAGAAGGGGCCATCAAAGAATGAGGTACCTTTCTCCGAAGGGAGAACTTCCGCTTTGCTTATGGCTCTGTCTAAATACTAACAGAGTTTGTGGGCGCAAAAGGCTTCCATAGTCTTGGCAGCTCGTGACAAGAGACTCAGGTGATCACTGATGTCATAAATAAAGAGTATCAAATTTTTTTAAAGATTTTTATTTATTTATTTGAGAGGTAGAGTTACAGACAGTGAGAAGGAAAGACAGAGAGAAAGTTCTTCCATTGGTTCACTCCCCAAATGGCTGCAATGGCCGGAGCTGTGCAGATCCAAAGCCAGGAGCCAGATGCCTCTTCCTGGTCTTCCATGCAGGTGCAGAGGCCCAAGCACTTGGGCCATCCTCCACTGCCCTCCTGGGCCACAGCAGAGAGCTGGACTGGAAGAGGAACAGCCAGGACTTGAACTGGCACCCATATGGGATGCCAGCACCATAGGCAGAGATTAACCTATCATGCCGTGGTGCCGGCCCCAGAGTGTCAGTTGTTAAATCATCAACAGAAGTCACTGTGCACTTACTCCCCATGTAGTACCTCTGCCCTTAATGAGGTATACTATGTGAATTAATGGTGAAACTTGTCTTCAAACAGTACTTTATACTTTGTGTGTCTGTGTGGGTGTAAACTGTTGAAATCTTTACTTAGTATAGAGTTGGTCCTCTGTATATAAAGATAATTAAAAATCAATCTAAGTATGGGATGGGAGAGGGAGTAAGAGGTGGGACAGGAGTGGGGGTGGGAGGGTGGGTATGGGGGGAGGAAGCACTATATTCCAAAAGCTGTACCTATAAAATTTATTAAATAAAAACTTTCTTAATAAGATGCTATAAACACAGCCATATGCGAGTGAGCACCTTTTTTTTTTTTTTAAGATTTACTTATTTGAAAGAAAGAGTTTACAGAGAGAGAGAGAGAGAGAGAAGCAGAAACAGAGAGATGAATCTTCCATCCTCTGGTTCATTCCCCAAATGGCTGCAACAGCTGGAGCTGGCTAGTCTGAAGCCGGTAGCCCGGAACCTCTTGTGGGTCTCCCACAGCACTTGGGCCAAAGCTCTTGGGCCATCTGCTGCTTTTCCAGGCCATAGCAGAGAGCTGGATCGGAAGCGGAGCAGCCAGGACTTGCTGCCATCCATATGGGATGCTGGCACTGCACCATAGACAGCCGCTTAACCCTCTGCTCACAGTGCCGTTCCTCCTCCCCCTGGCTGCTTTTTTAGAGAGGTGTCATTGTTGGGATAGTACTTATGGTAGTTTTAATAAAAACAAGGCCATTTTTATTAATTTTTTAAAATATTTATTTGTTTGAAAGATTCACTGAGAGACACACAGAGAAGGCCTGCATCTGCTGGTTCACTCTCAGATGCACTCAAAAGCCAGGGTTGGGCCACGCTGAACTTCTTCCAGGTCACCCACATGGGTGGCGGGGGCCCAAGCACTTGGTCCATCTTTCGCTGCTTTTCCCAGGCCATTTACAGGGAGCAGGCCCCACTATGCCATAATGCTGGCCCCTAGGCCATCTTTAACATTGTCACACTTTACGCTTTTCCACCGAGTCCTATCATGGAGAAGTATATATTGTTTGAGGTTTAATCAGTTATGTTGTGGGACGTTGCTTCTGAGCATGAGATGGGCAAGCAAAACTTCACTGTGTAACATGGAGTTTTCACAATTTCTAGTGGTTTTGCGAAGAAACAGAGAGCAGTGATGATGTCGAGGCCCTGACTACCAAGAAGTTCAAAGGCGACCTGGCCTACAGACAAGGAGAGTATCAGGTAGAATTCAGTATATACACTGGGCTCTGTGTAAGTAATACTGCGCTAAGCTAGGCCCTGTGCTGAAGATGAGGTTCATCTCTGGTGATGTCATTTTTGCTTGGCTTCATAATTTGTTTGGTTTCCCTTGACTCTAACAACGGATCTTTAGGTCTGTTCCCCCAGGCTCTGTCTCTCCATTAGTTCAAGCCGCCCACACAGATGCCTAAACACTGCAGGAGCAAAGCCCCAGACGTGTGAGAAAGTGAACTGTCTAGATGCTTTATGTGTATGAGAGGATCAGAATGTTTGCAGAAAACGGAATCAAAGGATAAGTTTATTTTGGTGCAAAATTTGTAAAATCTATGCCTGTGAAGGATCTCCAAAAAGTTTGTAGAAATGTATTTGACAAAAATCCTTGCGTGAATTTAACATTTTTTTCTGCATCACAGTAAGCGTATCTTTTAATTCCACTTTTCCAGGAACCTCTTGAGGCACCCTCATTTAGCTCCATTCATGTGTAGGAGAATCCTGTTGTTAGTTGTTGATGAAAAGGTCGCACAGCAAGTTAGTGGCCAAGCAGGATTCAAGCCTGGTCCGTTCGGTTCCAGTTGCTCTTTCGCCACACTGTGATGCTGTCCGTGGTGGTGGTTATGTGAGAGCGTTACCCTCCACCTAGGCAAAGCCCGTCCCCGTGCTAGGTCCATTTTCTAAGATGTTTCCCACTTTGCTTTCTTCCCTTCTCTTCATATCCTGTATTTTACTAATAATTGGCAGAAAGCACTGCAGGAGTATTCCAGTATCGCTGAGAAATTGTCGCCTACCAATTTTTCCATGAAAAGGGACATCCAGGAAGGCCAGGCTCGGTGTCTGGCTCACCTGGGGAGGCACCAGGAAGCCCTGGAGATTGCTACCGAGCTGGTGAGTGGTTCCATGATTGTTTTCAGATTTTTTTCCTCTACAAGTTTGGCTGAATAGTTGATTGTTTTAATGAGACCGAAAATGCACTTTTTACTAGTTTTAAAATCTGTGGGTTTGGCTAAGCAGAAAATTGTTGGTAGTGTAAGAAGTTTGTTATTATGAACACTTTAGCACCTTAGCATAATTGTTTTCTTGTAATATTTTCCCTGTGTTTCGCCCTGTGAAAATCTCATTCAAGTTAGAGGTTTTGTTCTTGTAAGGAGTAAACTCTCTTGGGGCGGGAGAGGGGAGAAGACAGGGAGGAATAAAAGTGATCTTTTTTTTTCTTTAGATTGTTATATGTTTAATGTTTATTTATTCATCTTTATTTATTTGAAAGGCAGAGTGACAGAGAGACAGAGACAGAGAGATCTTTTATCCACTGGTTCACTCCCCAGATACACAACTGAGGTTGGGCTGTACCTGGAGGTCAGTGTGGGTCTCTCACGTGGGTGGCAGGGACCTAAGCATTTGAGCCATCACCTGCTGCTTCCCAGGCACATTAGCAGCAAGCTGGATCGCAGGCGGAGGGGGAGCGGGCCTGGGTCCCAGGCACTCGGATGTAGGGTGCAGGTGTCACAAGTCAAGGTGGCCCAACCCGCTGTGCCACAGTGCCTGCCCTCGTTAGGATTTTTAGACTTCATTTTCTAAAATTTCTGAAATGAGCGTATATTACTATGGCAAAGAGAAAAGAAATGAGCCCAAAGTGACAAGCTACATGAAGCTAAGCTCGATAATCCTTTCGGTTTCTAAGTGGAATTGCAGATTTTCTTGTAAAGGATAAAGGCAGTTGTTTGTAATTCTGGATTCTATTATTCGTCTTTGGTTTTAGGTTAAGGCATTTATGGTTCACTTCTATTAGTTTGGTGAGCATTTTTTATGGAAATTAGTCTAAGTAGACCAACCCTAGTTTATGATGACTAGTTTCCTTCCTCCAAGGGAATTTGCAGGCATCGTGGCACTGATCTTGGGTGCTGTGGATGTAGCCGTCCAGAGGTCACCCTAAAGCTGTACCCCATGGGCGGTCCTGCACCTCATCAGCTGGGAAAGATCCCTGGCCTTTGCTTGCCCCGGGGTTCACTGCGCAGTGTGGGGAGCTTGGCCTTGGCCTTGCAGTGTGGATCAGCCTTCGCAGTCACTGGACATGGAGAACGACTGGGTTTTGTTCTTTCTTTTCCCTTCTCTACTAATTGCAGTTAGTTTGTACGTTGGAACTAGACGCCTTGCTAAGGAAGCACTGGCATGCACAGTGAACTTCCTGAGATTTAACTGTGTTCCCAGCCTCCCTGGCCTGCAAATGAACACACGTTGGACACTTGCGGCACTTTTCTGTAGACGTCCTCACTTCCTGCTCTCTTTACAGCACCTCTTGCACTGGCTGTGCTTTGTGCTTTTTGCCTCAATTGCTGAAGGCAGCAGCAGCCAGAGGAGTGGTGGGGGCTGGGTTTTCTCCTCCACTCTGGCTCAGTGCGTGTCTGTCTCTGTGGCTCAGAGAAGGGTCGTTGCCAGCCAGGAGGCCTGAGTCTCCTGAGCGTGGGCTGTACCCAGGCAGAAGGAAGTCTCATCAGAAACCTACGGATCTTTTCTCAGGCTTCTGGGCACCCGCTCAGGGAGGACTGTGGGCCAGATACGGGCAGTGGAGTAAGGCGTCTCACCCCATTTCTTTGGATTTTGGACTCTGCTGTTTGTATGGTTTTGTTTCCGGGTGTCCTGTGTCTTGTTTTTCAGATTTCTTCCTTTTCTTTTTCCTTTCATTTTGTTATTAGCTCTGGCCTATATCTGTTTTTTTGCCTCAGTGGTTAATTGTCCCCTCACATTCTATAGGGGAACAGATCAGTGTATAACATTGAGTAAGCTAAAATAAGATGTGAAATGAAATGTGTTTAATTTGAACATTACACAGTATATACATAAATCAAAACATATGGTACTCTATAAAATGTATAGTTTTTATGTACCAGTTTTAAAGATATATTTTGAAAGATTGTTTAAAAAAGCTTTTATTATTTACTTGAGAGGTAGAGTTAGAGAGAAAGAAAGACAAAGAGAGAGGTCTTTTATCCACTGGTTCACTCCCCAGATGGCCACAATAGCCAACTCTGGGCCAATCGACACCAGGAGCCAGGAGCTTCTTCTGGGTCTCCCACGCGGGTGCAGAGTTCCAAGGACTTGGGCCATCTTCTGCTTCCCCAGGCCATAGCAGAGAGCTGGATCGGAAGAGGAGCAGCCGGGACTAGAACCTGCACCCATATGGGATTCCTGCGCCACAGGTGGAGACAGCCCACGGCACCACAGCAGTGGCCCCATTTTAAAAGATTTTTAAAATAGCGAATCCTAGAGTACCCATCAGGATATGCATCTCCTTCTCACTTTTCCCCACAACATACATTTATTTCACTCCTACTGTTTGCCCGATTCTGGATTTGATGCTAAGGAGACAGACAGTGTCCCTGCCCCACACATGCGGTGATCATCCAGTGTCTGCTGTGCTGGCCGGCGGGGTGCGGCTCCGTCTGTGTTTCCTTCCTCGGCCCACGTTCCCTTTTTCTGTGACCTGTCATGTAACCGACCAGCTGTGCAGCTTCCTCCTGTATGACCTCAGCCAAGTTGTCTTCCCTCTCTGTCACTCAGTTGCCTCATCTATAAAATGGGATCATAACAGAATCCATTTGGAAGGGTTGTCTGAGACTTGAGTGAGTAGTAGTGCCTTGCACGTGGTACGCACTCAGTGAATGGCAGTGATCGCTGTGATGCTGTAGAAGAAGGGGGCGGTTCCTTTCCTTACGGTAAGTAGAAGACAGGACGTGACTTGCTGAGGTTCATTACGCTGAGTTCTCTTCCATCTGATGGAGCCAGAGTCTAGTGCTTGCTGTGCTAGGGGTTCAGCATTGAACAGAAGCTCCTAAGGAGCTTGCTGGTCTGTGCAGGGCAGATTCCTGGCATTTGGAGTAACTACGCAGCGTGTGTTCTGGCTTTAGGACAGTGCAGCGTCACCGACTGTCTCCTGGGGCTGAGTTCACGTCTTTCCCCCAGGGTAGGAGCACAGAGCCGTGCCTGGGCCTTCACCAATGCTCTGCTGGTTTCTTTCGGCTGCACGGTGGGCAGTGCTGCCTTAGCTGTGTGCGAGAGCGTCACCTGGATGCCAGCAGTCCATCCATGCTCTCCATAGACTCCGTGTCCACTTACCGGCTGCCATCTGCTCTCCGCATCTTTGACTTAGAAAAAGCAGGCCTGGGGGCCCACACTGGAGCACGAGGGGGGTGTTGGTTACACCTCCACTTGCATCGCTGGCTTCCCACATCTGAGTGTTGGAATCCTGGCTGTTCTGCTTCTCAGCCAGCTCCCTGCTAATGCACCTGGGAAGGCAGCGAAGAGGCTCCAGTACTTGGGCCCTGCCACCCACGTGAGACACCAGGATGGAATTCCTGCCTCTTGGCTTCAGCTTGGTGGAGACCTGGCTGCTGTGGCCGTCTGGGGAGTGAACTGGTGGAAGATACCTCCTTCCCTCCCTCTTTCTCTTCCTCCCTTCTTTCCTTTCTCTTTCTCTCTCCTACTGTTTCTAACCCTCTCTCTCCCTGCCATTCTGCCTTTCAAATAAATCAGTTTTTAAAAAAGAAAGGAAAAGAAAAAGCAGGCCTGTTTTCCTAACCCAAAGGGCATTTGCCATATGGCAGGTTAGGCAAGAGGGGGTGGCGCTGGTTGAGGAGACTTGAAAAGGATTTTCTGATCAGAAGGAAACCAAGCAACCCCCTCGAGCCAAAAATAATGGGCCTTGGTAATAGTTACCAGAGAAGGCATTTGGATTCAATTACAATGCTTCATGAAGCGCTGAGAGCATCAGTCAGGGCCGTCCTGTTTAAGATGTCTAAGCCAAGTAAAATTTGGAAGTGGAGTTGGTTCAAATCCTCAAGGAAATTACCATTTGGATTTTTAGAAAGCCTTGAATATTAAAATGGAACCAGTAGTCCAGGGCCCAAAAAAATTGGCAAGTCTTTCATGTATCTGCTGGAAACAGTAAAGATTATAATAAAAATTGGAAATAAATGATGTATTTTTGGTGTTTAACTTTGTTAGGTCACTATCACATGCATTGTTAGATTAGGATGATATTAGAATGCTTGAGAATGGCTGGTGACTTTAGATGGTTCCTCTAGGTTTGCGGTTTCAAACGGGAGTCTATTTCTCTCCACCTGTAAAGCTACTGGAAGATACTAATTATAATATATACAGCCTGGGTTTTTAGGTATCTTCACTTTAAATGTTTTATAAACATTTTACAGTCTAAGGTTCTTTTTCTTCTTAGGAAAATAAAGCGACCAACACAGACCATTTAACCACTGTGCTGTACCTCCAGTTTGCTATTTGCTCAAGTTTGCAGAACTTGGAGAAGACAATTTTCTGCTTGCAGAAACTGATTTCTTTGCATCCTTTTAATCCCTGGAACTGGGGCAAGTTGGCAGAGGCTTACCTGAGTCTGGGGCCAGCTCTCTCCACTTCACTTGCGTCAGCTCAGAAACAGAACAGTTTCACCTCAAGTGACGAGCCAGTCAAGTCCTCCTCTCCACACTCAGGACGAGGCTGTCTGCTGTGTTTGCCTGAAACCTTGCCTGCGAGCTCTGTGTTTCCTGTGGAAGCAAGGAGCAGTCACAGCCGGGAAAATGAGGATGCCCTTAAGAGCATTCGACACTGCGTGGCGGGAGAGAGCGACGAAGCGCTGCCGGAGACTCGGATGAAAGCCTGTGCATCGTTTATACGAACCAGGTGAGCCAAGGCAGGTTAAACAGCACGTGGCGGCAGGCTCAGGATAATGGTTTCATTTTTCTAATTTATTTTTTCTTGTTTTGTTTTCAAAAATTGATTGATTAATTTAAAAGGCAGAGTTAGAGAGAGGCAGAGAGAGGTATCTTCCATTTGCTGGTTCACTCTCTGGAGCTGGGCCAATCCGAAGCCAGGAGCCAGGAGCTTCCCCCTGGTCTCCTAAGTGGGTGCAGGGGCCCAAGGCCTTGGGCCGTCTTCCACCACCTTCCCTGGTGCTTCAGCAGGGAGCTGGGTCCGAAGTGGAGCAGCCAGGACTTGCCATATGGGATGCTGGCACTGCAGGTGGTGGCTCTACCCACACCAGTGCCGGCCCCTATTTTTCTCATTTGAAGCCCCAGAAGTTCCTAGGCTGGACACTTGGTGTCTATCTTTGGATTTTTCTGATGGTCTAGACAGAACCCCTTGAACATGTGCTTTTGTAAGATTTAGAAACAGTTGTATTTTTTCAAGAATACAACTGTGTCAGTGCTCAAGATAAAATGTTAAATTTGGTAAACATTTAAAAACCAGGAAAATAAAATCAAAGGTATGAAATTAGAAAAAAAGGATAGAAGATATTTTGAAAAGGAATTTTTCATTCAGGTGCCCCTAGAGAAATTTAAAGAAGAAAATCTGCTCTTTTGTTTGAGTTACTGATGGTGGAAGTAAGTGGGTTTAATTCATTCTACAGAGAATGCCCATAGTTTGTCTCTAGGAACTCCAAGTACTTTAAATCCTTAAAGTATATGAGTCTAGGGGAAGGGTGGGAGATACACAAGACCAGTTCTGTGGTTTATGAAGAAACAAGCAGGCTGTCTTATGTCTCAGATGATACTGAAGAACACAAAAGGTTAACTTTTTAAAAATATTTTATTTATTTATTTGAAATTTATTTGAAAATTTCAGACAGAGAAAGGGGGTGAGAGAGGTCTTCCATCTGCTGATTCACTCCCCAGATGGCCTCATTGGCCAGAGCTGGGCCGACCCGAAGCCAAGAGCCAGGAGCTTCTTCCTGGTCTCCCATGCGGGTACCAGGGCCCAAGCACTCAGGCCATCTTCCACTGCTTTCCCCACCCACCAGCAGAGAGCTGGATCAGAAGAGGAGCAGCTGGGACACGAATCCAGCACCCATATGTGATGCCAGCACTGCAGGCGGAGGCTCAGCCAACTATGCTACAACACTGGCTCCAAGGTTAACTTTTAATAAAATGTTTTAAAAAGGCTTACTTATTTATTTGAAAGAGTGAGAAAGAGGATCTTCTATCTGCTGGCTCACTCTCCAATTGGCTGCAACTGCCAAAGCTGAGCCAGGTTGAAGCCAGGAGCCAGGAGTTTCATTTGGGTCTCCCATGTGGGTGTTGGGGGCCCAAACCCCTGGGCTATCCTCTGCTACTTTTCCTAGGTCATTAGCAGGCAGCTGGATTGGAAGTGGAGCAGCCAGGAGCAGGGAGCTGGATTGGAAGTGGAGCAGCCAGTACACAAACCAGGGCCCATGTGGGATGCCAGTGTCACAGGTGGAGGCTTTACCCACTATGCCATAATGCTGTCCCCAAGTTTTTTTTTTTTGAACTCTGGAGACTTCAATAAATATTAACAGTAAGGCTTACTGATAAGTATCTATTGGGAAAATTTTAAGATTCTCTCAGGATGTTTGCTTAGAGCTGAGTGTGCCACTTTAATTCAGAAGTTCATTGAATGATAACTGGGAGCTTGGATCATAAAAGCATTCCCTTTCCTTATGTGGCTTACTGTTCTGGGGAGCTTACACGTGTCGCAGTGACTGGCCGTGCTGGTGTGAAATGTTTTCTTGGCAGTGTGAGCGCAGTCCTGTGGGACCAGTACAGGAGAGCTGTCGGTGTGTCAGAAAGAAGGCACCAGGGCCCCTATGGGATGCCGGTGCTGCAGGCATATGCCACAGAGCTAACTCCCATTTTAATCTTCATAACTCTGTGGAGCCCCCTATGAACCAGGAAACTATTAAAACCATCCCCCAAGCACAGTTAGGAAGTGTGGGGCCAGAGCTGTGTTCTTGCAGGCTGTGTGGCTGACTCTGTGTAGTATCCCCACGTGAGGAAAGACATGCTAATTAACAAGGAAGAAAGTGTGGCCCGGAGAAGAGCTGGCGTAGGACAGTGTGGTCGCCCAGGGTGGTGGGGAGAGCAGCACTGGCGTGAGCGCTTGCAACACCTGGGTGGAGAAGTGCATCGGGGCCAGGACTTCGGGGTCAGATCTGATTTGGGGGACTTAGTAAGCTGTTGAGGTTGAATGAATGAGCCAGGACTCCGCCACTTGCCAGCTGTCCTGCATTGCACACATTACTTAAGCTCTGTGGTTTTCAGTTTCTTCATCCAGACAGATGGAGAAATGGGGGAAATGCCTACTTCCTTGGGTTATAAAATTAAAGCATCTAAAGTACTTACTGTATTGCACAGTATACAGTAGGCAGTCGATAAATGGTAGCTGGAAGTAATTTTATTGTTTTGGTTTTTATTATTAGCACAGACATTAGATGTCAGCTTGAAAGAAACCTTGTGCTGAAGGCCTGAAAGTATTTGAAGGTGCGCAATATTAGACTGGAGTGGCAGCTGTGATTCAGAGAGATCTGGTAGCCAGGATGGTGGAGCTAGGGACACCAGTGCAAAGGCTGTAGAATAATCGGTGGGAAGTGAGAAGGCCTGACCTAGAGCAGTGCAATGGTAGTAAAACTGGAGAAAACGATGTCTGCAGGACGAAGCAGACGGGACTTGGTGGTCAGCTGAGTGTGGAGGGAGTTTGAGGGTTGGGAGAACAAGTGAAGTCCTGGGCCACAGGTGGGTGGAGGTGCCTTCCACTGAGCTGTGACACGTGGGAGGAGGGACAGAGCAGAGCAGGTGGAGGCTTGATGCACTGGGATTCCCAGGTGCCTGGGGGACGCCCAGGTCGAGCTTTTCTTCAGAAGTGGGCGTCGAGCTCAGCAGAGGGGACCTCCTCCCTCAAGTCTGCCTTTGTCTGAGTCTCTTCTGCACCACGACACCACAGACCAGGTGACTTACAAAGAAAGGGAATTTATTTCTCATGGTTCTGGAGGCCGGGAGGTCCAACATCCAGGTGCCGACACCTGGGGAGAGCCTTGTGCTGTCGCCTCGTGGCACTGGCATCGTGTGGCGAGAGATGAAATCAACCCGCGCTTGTCCTTTTTTTCAGGAACCCACAGTGGCATTAGCCCCTGCCCAGGGATCGAGAGCTCGTGATCCGGCCCCTCTTTTTTTTTTTTGACAGGCAGAGTGGACAGTGAGAGAGAGACAGAGAGAAAGGTCTTCCTTTACCGTTGGTTCACCCCTCAATGGCCGCTGCGGCCGGCGCACCACGCTGATCTGAAGCCAGAAGCCAGGTGCCTCTCCTGGTCTCCCATGGGGTTCAGGGCCCAAGCACTTGAGCCATCCTCCACTGCCCTCCCGGGCCACAGCAGAGAGCTGGCCTGGAAGAGGAGCAACCGGGACAGAATCCGGCGCCCCGACCGGGACTAGAACCCTGTGTGCTGACAACGCAGGTGGAGGATTAGCCTAGTGAGCCGCGGTGCCGGCCGATCCGGCCCCTCTTACTGCCATCACAGTGACAATTCCAACGTGTGGAGGGGACATTGAAACCATAGCAACATCTCTGCCCTTGGCCTGCAAAGTCTTACTTGGGTTGGCCCTGCCTTTCCTTCCACCTCATTTACTTCATTTTTTCTCCCTGGCTGTGCTGCAGCCACAGTGGTCTTTGTGATTTCCAGACACATCAAGCTAGTTCTTTGTTGTCTCAAGGCCTCCTTCCTCCCGGCCAAGCGCTTTCTCTCAGATTCTCTCTTGGCTGGCTGCTCAGCAGCTGGGTCTGCCTCAGCGGTGTCTCAGGAAGGTCTCTGTGCAGCCTCACCCTGCCTGGGGTTTTCCCTGGCACCTGCTGCTACCTGGGATTACAGACTCGCATTCTCTCTTCTTCCACCCCATGGGGCAGGCACCTGTACGGCTTGCTCATCATTATCTTTATCTCTCAGGGTCTAGAGCAGACCAGGAAATGAGTGAGCCGGAGGCCTGGGTGCTTCTGGTGCTGCATTTGGGACCAGTGAAGCTTGAGGAAAATTGGGAAAATCTGCACACGCAGTAAGTGAGGAGGAACAGGAGAGGAGACCGGGTGGTGATCCTGATGATGAGGTCAGAGGTCAGGCAGTTGCAGGGTGCTCACATGGTTTGGCCTCTCTGGGAACATGTATGTGTCCTGGTGAATCTAGCAAGACCTTGAAGTCACGTTGCTACAGGATCAGGGAAACAGAGGCCACAGAGCAGGTCCCGGACGCTGTGTGGAGGGAGCCTGCTTGGGAGTCTCGTTCAGTGACTTGTGCTCTCAGAGCAGCTCCCTGGAGGTGGTGGTCCCTAAAGACTTCTAGAGGAGGCTGTGACTGTGTCAGGACGATGGCTCTCCGCTGGAAAGCTGGGTGGTGTGTTCAGAGGAGGAAGCCCCAGGGAGTCACTTGGGGCCTGTGAGGGCGGCCTGGTAGCACGTCACCCGGCTACCACCTGGGCTCCGTACAGCACTTCCTCGCGGCTTTCCTCTGCGCTGAGCCTACACATGGCGACTCTGGTTTTTCAGGCTTTTGCTTCAACTCACCCAATCGCAGCAAACATCGTTTGCTTTGGAGAAGAACTTAAGGACGCAGCAGGAAATCGAAGACAGAGTGAAAGGGTTTGGCTTCAAAGACGACACGTTGCTGTTGATAGCTGAGGTGAGTGTCTCCCGCGGAGCTGATGTGGAGGAAGGCATCCTCGCTATGTTTGCTGGCTCCGATACCATTTTGTGAGAAACAGGGCCAAGTCTCCTCTGCAGAGGAGCTCCTGTCTCCCGCCGGCGTGCCTTTTGATCACGCCTCGCCGAGGCGGCGGCCTCTGGTCCTTGCGCTGCGGCGTTCTGGGCTCCAGGGACTGTGCTTTGTGTACTTGGAGGTGCTGTTGGCAAGTGCCTGTTTGTACATAATAAATGCCTGCCCATGGTTTGTCTCAGTGCTGGATAAACAAAAGAATTCTCGCTCACGTTTGTGGCAGGCTTCTGTAATTTTTCCCCCGTTTGTCCTCGGTGTAGCCCTTCCTCCACGCTGTCTCTCCTCGCATGGTTGCAGGGACATTCAGATGTCATTTAAAAATCCTGTTGTTTCTCTCTTTAAAAGATTGGATCCGAAGCCAGGAGCCAGGTGCCCCTCCTGGTCTCCCATGCGGGTGGGTACAGGGCCCAAACAGTTGGGCCATCCTCCACTGCACTCCCGGGCCACAGCAGAGAGCTGGACTGGAAGAGGAGCAGCCAGGACTAGAACCTGGTGCCCATGTGGGATGCCGGTGCCGCAGGCGGAGGATTAACCAAGTGAGCCATGGTGCCGGCCCCTTCTTTTTCTGTTTTAAAGAGATTTATTTGGGGGAGAAGACAGAGAAAGAGACCTTCCATCTGCTGCTTGACTCTTCAGATGGCCACAATGGATGGGGCTTGGCTGGAGCAAAGCCAGTAGCCTGGAACACCATCAGGGTGTCCTGCACAGGTGGCGGGGACCAAAGTATTTGGGCCATCTTCCGCTGCCTTCCCAGGTGCATTAGCGGGGAATTGGATCAGAAGTGGAGCAGGGACTAGTGCTGTGGTGTAGCGTGTAAAGTGGCCACCAGCAGTGCCGTTATCCCATAGGGGCACCGGTTCAAGACCCAGCTGCTCCACTTCTGATCCCGCTCTCTGCAGTGGCCTGGGAGAGCAATAGAATCCTGTTTGTTTTCCTTTACCTTCCTGTAATGTGTGACTGCTGACCGCTCATTCCGTTCCCTCTTCCCTTCAGTTCTGCCTTCTCCTGCATTTCTTGCCTTACCTCTGCCTCTTGGGACTGCACTGGTTTCCTCCTGTCATAGTAGTGGCAACCTCTCGGTCTCGCCTCGGCCCTCTCTCCTCCATCTCTGTCTCCCACAGCAGTCACAGCCACACCCACAGTTGTAGTCATCCGCTGTGGGTTGGTTACTCCCCTGTCTGCATCTCTGGTCTGACCCCTGAAACACTTGTCTCCCTGCTGGGTGGTTAATATAGGGTAGTCACTGATTTTTCTCTTTATTTCAATTACAAAATGTCTTAGGTGGAACTAGGCAGTCTTTCAGCTCCCCTCAGTGCTAGCGTGCCGGAGTGGCTACTTGCCGTCAGTAGATAGTTGTTGAGAGGAAGCAGAGAGGCGTTGGGAAGAACCATCTCTGTGCTGCACTTAGTTTTTCCACTTGGCGTTGTCAGCTTTTTGTTACTAGGATGAAACACGGACGGGCTGCTTAGGGAGGAGAGAGGTCTACTTTGGACTGTGGTTTTGGAGATAACAGTCTCAGATCAGGTGGGCACCCGCGGTTTCTGCCTTGGTGAGACTTTCCTGTTGGCAGATTCCTGAAGTGGTGCAGAGAGTGTCATGCCGAGGGGGAGCAAGTGTCCATCCGTGTCCAAGCGATGTCTTAATTAGCAGGGCCCCGCCCTAGTGGCCCAGTCACATCGAATCAAGCCGTCTCGCAGAGGTTCCATCTTCCATCATGATGTGATTAACTTCCACCTTCTTGGGGGCACTGACATGAGAAATGGGGACTAAACCCTTATTTTTTAATTTTGTGTAAAGCTTTTATTTATTTGAGATGTATACCAAAGTACAGAAAGAGAGAGAGGCCGAGAGGCCTTCCCTCCAGTGGTTCACTCCCCAGATGGTCAGAACAGCCAGAGCTGGGCCGATCTGAAGCCAGGAGCCAGGAGCTTCTCCTGGTCTCCCACACGGGTGCAGGGGCACAAGTGCCTGGGCCAGTTCCTGCTGCTTTCCCAGGCTGTAGTAGAGAGCTGGATTGGAAGAGGAGCAGCCGGAACTAGAACCGACGCCCATATGGGATGCCGGCACCACAGATGGAGGCTTAGCATACTGCGCCACAGCGGCAGCGCCAGGGACCAAACCTGTAGCACATGGGCCTTTGGGGGACAGACAGCATCCAAACTAACATCCCGATCCTGGCAGGCTCTAATTCTTCTGCCACACCCGGAACCCCTCTAGCTTTGGGCCTCCTGCCCTCCAGGCTCACCCAGCCTGGCTGCAAGTGCACGCTTCCTGCACAGCCGATCTCGCCTGTTTCTCTCACTGCCAGCACCTAGTCCTTAGCAGCTCTGCCCTGACTCATCAGACTGATGCCCACGTGGGATGCAGGCATCTCAGGCAGTGACTACCCGGCCCCTGAGGCCGTCTGTTAAGCATCTTCCACCGTTCTCTGTAAATCTGCTTGAGCAGAGTGGTGGCTTCCTACTAGACAGCACATGTGGTTCACTGTGGAGCTTTTCAAAAAGATGAATACTGCGCCCTCATTCAGGCAGATCATTTTGTTCTCATTTTGTGCTTGTGATATGAACATAACCGCATATCCTTAAATAATCTGATTGCATACTTCTTCTGTCCCTTTATAGGGCTTTCACCTGACCCAAATAGGCTCATACGTTCTGTTTTTGATTCTTCTGCCTTTTTCACAGCTCTTTTCCGTCCCATAGTTCCTCTTTCTCTCTCCTTATTTTTTTAACTCTGATTATACACAAGAATAACATTCTTTACTGTCTTCATCACTGTTAAGTATTTGGCCTTTTGTGTCTGTCTTATTTGACTTTAATGTTTTTAGGGTTCATCCATATTGTTTTATCCAAACCTTGTTCCTGGGGCTGGCGCTGTGGTGTAGTGGGTAAAGCCGGCGCCTGCGGTGCCAGCATCCCATATGGGCACCAGTTCCAGTCCCGGCCACTGTACTTCTGATCCAGCCCTCTGCTATAGCCTACGTAAGCAGTACAAGATGGCCCAAGTTCTTGGGCCCCTGCTCCTGAGTGGGAGACCCAGAAGAAGCTCCTGGCTCCTGGCTTCGGATCGGCGCAGCTCTGGCTGTTGCAGCCAACTGGGGAGTGAACCAGCAGATGGAAGACCTCTCTCTGTCTCTCTTTTTGTAACTCTGCCTTTCCTTCTCTCTGTAACTCTGACTTTCAAATAAATAAATAAATCTTAAAAAAAAAAAAACCTCATTCCTTCTTCCTTCTTATAGAATGATATTCATACACACACACACACACACACACACACACCACATTTTGTTTTCCTCTGTTGATGGACCCTTTAGTCGTTTCTATCTTCTAAATGTTGTGAATAGTGTTGGCATGAACATTAGCGTACATGTATGTTTGAGTCTCTGTTTTTTTGTGAGTATTTTTTTAAGATTTATTTATTTATTTGAAAGGCAGAGTTAAAGAGAGGCAGAGGCAGAGAGAGAGAGAGAGGTATTCCATCTGCTGATTCACTCCCCAAATGGCTGCAATGGCCGGAGCTGAGCCGATCCAAAGCCAGGGGCCTGGAGCTTCTTTTGGGTCTCCCACATGGGTGCAGGGACCCAATAACTCGGATCATCCTCTACTGCTCTCCCAGGCCATTGCAGAGAGCTGGATTGGAAGTAGAGCAGCTGGGACCTGAACCAGTGCCCAAATGGGATGCCAGCACTGCAGGTGGTTGCTTTACCCACTATGCCACAGCGCCGGCCCCTGGTGTGTATTTTTTAAGATGTTTGTTTATTTGAAATGCAGTTCCATCTGCTGGTTCACTCCCCAAGTGGCCACAACTGCCAGGGCTGAACCAGGCCAAATGCAGAAGCCAGGACCTCCATCTGGTTCTCCCACATGGGTGGCAAGGGCCCAAATACTTGGGCTATCTTCTACTGTTTTCCCAGGCATGTTAACAGGGAGCTGATTTGGGAGCTGAACAGCTGGGAATCAAACACTCAAGCCAGCACTCCAGTATGGGATGCTGGTGTCACAAGCAGTGACAACACGCTACACCATAACACCAACCCCCGAGTCCCTGTTTTTAATTCTTCTGTGTATATATCTAAGAACCTCAGGGTAGCTCTGACTTTTCTAGGAACAGAGGCTGCTGTTGTGGTGCAGTGGGCTAAGCCATGCTTATGTCACCAGCATCCAAATGAGTGTAGGTTCAAGTCCTGGTTGTTCCAACTTCTTGTTAATGTGCTTGGGAAAGCAGCAGGTGATGGCCCAAGTACTTGTGCCCCTGCCACTCACAGGGGAGACCCAGGTGGAATTCCAGGCTCCTGGCTTCAGCCTTGTACAGATATGGCTGTTGTGACCATTTAGGGAGTTAACCAGTTAGTGGAATATTTCTCTCTTTCCCTCCCTCCTTTCTTCCTCCCTCCCTCCCTCCCTCCCCCCCTCTCACTCACTTTCCCTCTCTCTATGTCTCTCTCATCCCCCATTCCTGCTGGATGCTATGAAGGGACTCTGGAATTTACCTGTAGTTTACTGTGGTTACCGAGGGTGGGTATTAGCGCTCAGTAGGTTCAGGTACAAGCTGTCTAACCGTAACTTGGTCATTCTTACTAAGGAGAAACCAACCTGGAATCCGAGGCTGCATTCATAAAGGCCTGGTTCTGGTCAGTAGGGGGCAGCATTGGGCCTTCGTTGGTGAATGTCCGGGTGATTGCTCTGGCTATAGTGGGGTTGGAGCCTCTTTCTGGGCTTAGTAAAGGGTGGGCCCAGCTACTTGCCTCTTAGCTATTTGCTGCCTTTGACTTTGGAGAACTTCTGAGAGACAGAGCCTGTGCCCTGCACACAGCTGTCCTGAGTCTGCCTGGGCTCTGCCCTGACCTCTTCAGCCTCATACGAGGAGAGAGACTCACCGGCAGGTGCGCTCCTGGGAGGCTGGGCAGCTCCAGCGTGCCTGAGGACCCCGTGATTCTCACTCAGGGAGGGTGAGGGCACAGATGTAATCCACGTCATGTTACATGTGGGGTACTCCAGAAGGTCTGGAAAATAGTTAAGTTTATTTTGGTGTAAAAAAAGTTAGAATCCACACATAATTTCTCATATGCATTTTCCATGAGTTTTTTGAAGGCATCCTGTATATAATTTCAGAATTTTTGGTGCCAAAGTAAACTTCTAATTCCATTTCCCATGAACTTTTTGAGATACTCTCTCAGTCTTTGGATAGCTACTTCTTTCCATCCACTGGTTCACTTCCCAAATGGCCACAATGGCCAGAGCTGTGCCGTTCTGAAGCCAGGAGCCAGAAGCTTCCTGTAGGTCTCCCACGCAGGTGCAGAAGCCCAAGCACTTGGGCCGTTGTCCACTGCTTTCCCAGGCCATAGCAGAGAGCAGGATCAGAAGTAGAGCAGCCGGTCTCAAATAGGCACCCATATGGGATGCCGGCACTGCAGGCGGTGTTACACCACAGCGCTGGCCTGTGGATGACTACTTCTGGATAAGTGTCTTTTTAGTATATTGAAAATGTCTGACTGCTTGGGGCTGGTACTGTGGCACAGTGGGTTAAAGCCTCAGCCTGCAGCACTGGCATCCCATACGGGCGCCATTTTGAGTCCCGGCTGCTCCTCTTCCTATCCAGCTCTCTGCTGTGGCCTGGGAAAGCAGTGGAGGATGGCCCAAGTCCTTGGACCCCTGTACCCATGTGGGAGACCAGAAGAAGCTCCTGGCTCCTGGCTTCAGATCACCTCAGCTCTGGCCATTTGGGGAGTGAACCAGTGGAATAGAAGAGTCCCCCCTCCCCCCCCGCCACGCTGGCTCTACCTCACTCTGTAACTCTGTATTTCAAATAAATAAAAAAAATCTTTAAAGAGAAGAGAAAAGAAAATGCCTGGCCGCCAAGTATGTGTCGTCTTTGGTGTGAAAGGCTTTACGACTGATGACCAGAGCAGTCTTCCCTCCCACATCTGCTGACTGTTTTCCTGGGACGGTTTCGTTCTGCTGCAGGTTATGGGAGAAGATATCGTCCCAGAAAAAATAAAGGACGAGGTTCATTCCGAGGTGAAGAGTGTTGGGCACGCGGCCCTGGCTGCCTTGGTGACGGCCTCCTCCCAAGAATTTGAAGAAAGATGGTTCAGAAGAATCAGAGACCACTTCTGGCCCTTTGGAAATCAGCTCGGTTCACAGACGCACGTCCTGGCTTCGTGCTCCTGCTGAAAAAGAAAGTGGAAAATGGCTCGTACTGGGTTGGTTGTCCTTGTTTGCTTCAGTCGGGATCCACTGGTACTCGTGGAATACAGGGGATTTAAAATGATTTGTACTTTATAAAAATGGCTTCTCGGATGATTTCTGCTGTACTCGGTTTCTTTATCGTTTTCCTTTTAGGGTTGTCCTGTTCTGACAAGTACTGCACCTTCCACCTGCTACCCCTCAGCAGATCGCTTTGGGAAAGTCTGAAAGGGCACTGAGCTCTTGTGGCCTTTTAAGACACTTGCTGTCCTGCAGCCAGCAGTGTGGGAATCCACATGGCCTGGAGAAATTCTTCAGGAAGGACCTGGAAAGTTGTCTAAGAGGAATGTGTCAGGACTACAAGGAGTCTGAGGTTTTGCCTCCTAGGAAGCTGACCGATCCGCCTGCCAGTTTCCTGTGCGCTGGCAGAAGACAGCAGGCGTCTGTGTCGGAGACGGCGGATTCTGTTGCTCAGGCCCAGCACCCCAGCAGTGGCTCCTGCTCCCAGGTCCCGGGAGGTGGGCACGTCGGGGCACAAAGGAGTGCCTGCCGTCCCATGCAGCAGACGCGCTTTGCCGCCTCTGTGATGTGGGTGCCGTGGGCTGCGTTCCAGGAGTGGAACCCTGACTTTAGGAAACCCAAGTCTTTTTTGAAAAAAAAAAAAAAAAAGAGAGATTAATTTATTTGAAAAAGTTACAGAGCGAAGAGGAAGAGACATACAGAGAGAGAGAAAGTTTCTATCCGCTGGTTCACTCCCCCAAATGGCTGTGATGGCCAGGGCTGGGCCAGGCCAAAGCTAGGAGCCTGGAACTCCATTGTGGCAGTGGAAGTGGAATATCCAGGACTCAAATCAGTGCTCATATGCTGGTGTTACAGGGGACAGCTTAACCTGCTGTGCCACAATGCCAGCCCCTCAAATCTTTCACAATGGCCAGTAAGCATGCTGGCCCTTTGCTGTGTGTGTGTGTGTGGGGGGGCACTGTCTGCCTTATTTTTTGAAAAAGTTCTTATTTATTTGAGGGAGAAACAAAGCTTTCATTTGCTTGTTCACTGCCCAGATGCCAGCAGTAGCCCCTGGATGGGGCTGAAGCCAGGAGCCAGAAATGCAATCCAGGTTTCTCATGTGGGTAGCAGAACTCAGATGCCTGAGCCGCTGCCTCCCCTGGGTCTCCATTAGCAGAGAGCTGGAGTCAGGACTGGAGGTGGTACGGAAGCCAGGGGCTCCTACGTGGATCGTGAGCGTCTCAACCATTAGGCCACACACCGGCCCGTGATCTCCTTTTTTAAGGCTGTTTGCTGTCCGCACGTAGCTGAGAAGAGAGTCTGGAACAGAGAGCATCGAGTGCCTTGCTTACAGGACACAGAGGCCCGGAGACCCAGGAGCAACGTGATTGACACACGTCGCCGTTGGTCTCTGACACTGTCTCCAGTTACACAAGGGTATTGCCGTACTCTGATTTATCTGGCACGTGACAGCTTGCTCTCTCTTTGTAAAGATCTATTTTATGTATTAGAGAGGGGGGTAGATAGATCTTCCATTTGCTGGTTCACTCCCCAAATGGCCACAATGTCCAAGGCTGGGCCAGGCTGAAGCCAGGAGCTTCATCTGGGTCTCCACATGGATGCAGGGGCCCAGGGACCCTGGCCACCCTCTGCTGCTTTCCCAGGTGCGTTAGCAGAGAGCTGAATGGGAAGTGGAGCAGCCGGGACATGAATCAGCACCCATATGGGATGCCGGCATTGTAAGTGGCAGCTTAACCCACTGTGCTACAACACCGGCCCTAAGAATTCTCTTACAAAATAATTTAATGACACATCAAGAACTCCATCAGTTGCCAGATTGCATAATTTTTTTTTTTTAAGATTTATTTATTTGAAAGAGTTAACACAGAGAGAGGAGAGGCAAAGAGAGAGATCTTCCATCCACTGGTTCACTCCCCAGATGGTCGCAATGGCCGCAACTATGCCAATCCGAGGCCAGAAGCCAGGAGCTTCTTCCAGGTCTCCCACGTGGGTGCAGGGGCCCAAGGACTTGGGCCATCTTCTACTGCTTTCCCAGGCCATAGCAGAGAGCCGGATCAGAAATGGAGCAGCCGGGACTAGAACTGGCACCCATATGGGATGCTGGCACTTCAGGCCAGGGCTTTAACCCACTGCGCCACAGCACCGGCCCTAATCCTTCATAATTTTTATATTTATTTGAAAGAGATGAGCAGACGAGACAGATTTTGCATGCGCTGGTTCACTCCCCAAATAGGCAAGATGGCCTGGCTGAAGCCAGAGCCAGGAACTCCATCCGGGTCTTGCACGTGGGTGTCAGGGGCCTGAGTACTTGGGGCATCTGCGGCTTTCGCGGGTGCATTCGTAGGGAGCTGGATCAGAAGAAGAGCAGCCTGCACTGGAACCAGTGCTCCTGTGGAACGCAGGCGCCGCAGACGATGGCCTAACCTGCTGCTGCACCACAGTGCTGGCCCTACATAGTTCTTAGTTCATCTTTCTCAGCAGAGGGAAGGGAATGTGAGCCCTGGGCAAAACGTGACGTCCTCAGGATTGCCCTTCCACACTCTTGCTCACTCCCGTCACTCCTCTCCAGTCTGGCATGGGTGGGGTTGGGTTTCTGCTTTGACTACTCTCGCACTGAGTCTGAGCACAAGCAGCCATCGCCAGTTCAGTCTTTCCTCTCTAGTGTGAAAAGATTCTGTGCGATGGGTAGACGTTTCAATTTTAGGGACCACTGGACATGAAAGCCCCTCGAGTGCCCATTGCCTTCCGCCCAGTCAGTCAGTCAACGACCATTGTTTACGGAGCTCCTGTTATGTGCCAGGCTCCGAGTGGCTGCAGTGCGGGCTTGTGGTCTAGCTGTGGATTGCCTTTCCTGGTACAGCTCTGGCCACTTGGAGCCCCCTGCCTCACTAACCCTTGCCTCTGTGCACAAACCCAGGCTTGGAACTGGAGACCGCCACCCATCATGCTCATCTTTCAGGTGGCACCTGATTTTGCTCCCCGGAAGTTTTCCTGGCCCAGGCAGGGTTAGTTTGCCCTCTTTGGGGCTCCCTTTTCCTGATTGCCCTGCTGGCCTTGTCGCTCTGTGTTGTTGCATCTTTGCTTGTTTTCCATGATGGATTCTGAATTTTGCAAAGCCAGGGACTCTGACTGTTGTGTTTGTATCCCAAGGCAAGATACACGGCATCTCACTAAGTTGCTGAACAGAATCATTGAATTAATCGGCCAGCGACTTCCTTTGTGTGAAAGGCTGATGCCCATAGAGGTGACGCCACATGGAGGCAGTCCAGCGTCCTGCCTGTTGCCCTCTGTGTGCAAACCTCTTCCTCCTGCTCATCTAGGCGGCCTAGAAAGGCCCCCTGTTCTCCCCCTCCTCTCACCTCTGGCCTCCATCCCAGCCCCCTGGACAACTTCGCCCATGGCTTGAGCTTTTAGCCCTCTGGCTTGCCTCCCAGGCCCAGCATCCACTCCAAGCCGAGTGTCTGGGTGCCGTGTGGGATCCTGATCACAACCCGCCTTTGGCATCAGTGTGTTGGAGCGAGTGCGAGCCGCCTCCTGCCCCCTGCCCCCTGGGCTGTGGCGAAGGCTGGGAAGGGCACTTGGAATGCAGCTCCGCTGTGTGTCATCACACAGACGTCGTCATGGCCATGTCTAGCACCGACGGTGAAGGAAATTGAGCAACAATGATGACATGCTAAAGGAGATTCCTCAGGCTGCCCGTTCAGACACCACCAGCCTCCTGTTGGTGAGTGAGTCACCCAGGAGGCGAGCAGAGATGTGAGTGCACCCCCGCTGGGCACGTGGGACACAAGGGCAGGTCCTTGCTCCATGCACCCAAAGCTCTCGTCAGTGTTTGCTCCCAAGGGGGCTCTGTGCTGGGGATTTGCGGTGGGAGCCTTGTCCCTTCAATGCTGACGCCCTACAGTCTTCACTCTGGAGCCAGAGCGTTCTTACAGATGGCCCCACGGTCCTCCATGAGGCCTGGCCCTGGCCCCCATCCCAGGCTCTCTGCTGCTCCAGCTTCTCCCATGCCTCCAGCCTCCCGCTGGGTGAGCCCTTTGGTTACCTCTGCTTGGAACATCCCCCCTGCAGTCCCCTCCCCTTGCCATAAACTTCCTTCTGCCGCCGTCAGCCCCAAGGTCACTCTCGATGTTCCTCATTCCCGGACTCGCTCAGGTTCCCCTCCAAGTGCAACACGGACCTGCGCTTGTTTTTCCGGAGTGCTTGTTGGAATTATAGTGAAGTCATTGTATGATTCCTCCTTGCCAGGTCAGCAGCCCTGGGACTGCCTCTCTGGTTTGTCCTTTTATGGTGGAGCTCAGCATTGTGAACGTGCCCTGACTTCTGATGTTGCTGCCTTCCTGGGGCTCCAGGCCATCCCTGCAGCCCACCCACTGCCAGCGCCAGAGATACCTCCACCCGCCTATGCAGTGCCGGCTTTGCTTTAAGAGGACATTGGGTAAAAACCTCTCCAAGGGGCTAGCGTTGTGGTGCAGAGGGTTAAGCTGCTGCCTGCAGTGCTGGCATCCCATAATGAGTGCTGGTTGGAGTCCTGGCTGCTCCACATCCTAGCCTCCCTGCTGATGCGTCTGGGAAAGCTGCGGAAAATGGCCCAAGTCCTTGGGCCCCTGCCACCCATGTAGGAGACCTGGATGGAGTTCTGGGCTCCCGCTTTTGGCCTGGCCATTGTGGCCATTTGGACAGTGAGCCGGTAGATGGAAGATCTCTCTCTCCCTTTCTCTATATAACTGTGCCTTTCAAGTAAATAAATAAATCTTAAAAAAAAAAAAAAAAAAAAACAACTTCTCCAAGATGAATCCAAAGCCCCCATTTACAAAATGATTAAGTAGCAGCTCTCTAGCACTTCTGAAATGTAATCCGTAAAAGTAGCTCATACCCCGTTTCCAGGGTCTTAGGCAAGCCCACCAAGTGCGTGCACCTGAGACCAGCCGCTTCGGAAGGAAGGGGGTGGAGTGGGGCTCACGGTTTGGAGGGTGCGTGGTGGTGGGGCATGTGCACGGAGGGCCGGGAAGCAGAGACAGGCTGAGCCCCACTCGGCTTTTATAACCAGCCCTCTCTCCAGAGCCCCCCAAGGGCACACCCCACCCCACCCCACCCGCATTGACTTTACGACCTCCCGCCTGGCCACCTCCCAGCCTCTTCCGTCCAGCAGCTTCCGACTTTGGGGTGTAACCCTCTGCATGGGTCTGGGGGCCACTGCCCGTTCTGGCCTTTGCACAGGAGTGGAAGAGTCCACAGAACCGGAGCTCTGGTGGTGCGGCTGCACGCACTGTCACTTTCCCCATGCCTGGCCTGGCCTTAGGTTAGTGTTTGGGACCTGGCCCGAGCATCTGCTGTGCAGCCAGAAGCTGAAACGAATGTCCCCTGAGCCCAGAAACGACAGGCCAAGGGGTGGGGCTCCAGTTCTGTCCACCAGGAGAGGAGAGGCGTTCATCTGTATCTGTTGGGCTTGTGTCTGTTCAGCCTCTGAGCTGGTTCTCTGGGAACCGCCGTGCCACCCCAGGGGCGGGCGCGCGGTCGTCACTCCTGCACTCAGTGACCCTAAATGACCGAGGTCCAGCAGTCTGATCCTCTCCTGGCTCTGAACCTCGCAGGCTCCAAGAGGAGGTGGCTGTGTTGCAGGCCGAGCAGACGTGCAGAGGGAGGAGGCAGGAGATGCCCGGAAGGGGCTCGGCGATGGTTCTCTGCTGTGGTCCGTCCTGACTCGGGGCCTCCCCGTGTCCACACGGACCCTGGAGTGTGAACACTGACTGCTCCCCCACCCCCCAGAGATGTCCATGTCCCAGGGTCCTCACCCCAGGAAGCTCTGAGCACAGTAGGTTACGTGGCAGAGGGGAACTAGGGTGTTCACCAGCGGGGTTCAGAGGGATTAGCGGGATTATCCATTCAGGCCCAGGGCGGTCACCAGGATGTTTAAAAAAGGAAGAGAGAGGCAGACGGACTGAGTCAGACGCTAGGTTGCTGGCTTCAATGATGGAGGACGGAAATTCAGTCACCTGCAGAAGCGAAAGAAGACAAGGAAATCTGTTCTCTCCCGGGGTGTCCAGGAAGAAAGCCAGCCCTGCCCACACCTCGACTTCAGTTTTTACTTTATTATTTTTTAAGATTTATTTTATTTATTTAAAAGGCAGAGTTACAGAGAGAGAGGGAGAGAAAGAGGTCTTCCATCTGCTGGTTCACCCCCCAAATGGCTACAACAGCTGAGGCTGGGCCAGGCCAAAGCCAGAAGCCAGGAGCTTCTTCTGGGTCTCCCATATGGGTACAGAGTTGGGCCATCTGCTGCTGCTTTCCCAGGTGTGTTAGCAGGGAGCTGGATTGGAAATGGAGCAGCTGGGACTCGAACCAGCACCCATATGAGAAGCTGGTGCTGCAGACTCCCATGTGAATGGCAGAGACCCAGTTTCCTAACCCCCAGGACCTCTGAGCACATCAGGTTATGTGGGCCATCTTCCGCTGCTTTCCCAGGAAGTTAGCAGGGGGCTGGATCGGAAGTAGAACAGCTGGGACTTGAACTGGCGCATATGTGGGATGCCGGTTGCTCGTAGCAGCTTTACCCTCTATGCCACAGTGCCGGCCCTGCACATCTCGGTAGCTCAGGGAGATGTGTGTCATAGTTGAGCCATAGGAACGTCAGCTGATGCGTATGCATGGATTTAAGGCGCTGCGTCGTGGCCATTGGCTACAGCAGCCACAGAAAACGAGTGTGCCATGGTCAAGGTCGCTGCAGCTGGCACCTCTCACCTGCAGCCCAAGAACCGTAATATGGAATGCTTGGGGCCTTTCACTCTTGCTTTAGGACAGTCCTTGCTGTCTCAGAAGGCTGTTTCTCTTGGAGATGACCCTCCTTCCGTCGTCTGTCCAGAGGGCAGCCTTTGGGGCTTTGTCGGTGGCCGTGCGAAGGGAGGCGGCAAGGCCGCTTCCCAGGAGTGCGCTTCTCTGCTAGAGGCCGCCGTGGGACGTCCGTGTGATCAGAGCCGGGAAGGAGGGACCAGCTGTGTTCGTCCATATTCTGTTGCCAATAACAACGCAGACAGCGTCCGCTATAGACAGGGGGTTTATTTTCATTTGTGGTTCTGGCTCGAGGTTGAGGGGCTGCATCTGGTAATGACCTTGCTGGAAGAGTCCAGGTGCAGCGCATCCCATGGCAGAGACAGGGTGCACACGAGACACCTGGCCAAGCTGGCTTTTGTAGCCCAATCACTCTCCAGAGTAACCCACCATGAACTGCCATCACCTTGTAAAGGCGTCTTTAAAGATTTATTTTTATCTGAAAGGCAGAGTTAGAGGAAGAGACAGAGAGGTCTTCCATCTGCTGATTGACTCCCCAGATGGCCACAATGGCCAGGGCTGGGCCAGGCCAAAGCCAGGAGCCAGGTGCTTCTTCCACGTCTCCCATGTGGGAGGCAGCTTGGGCTATCTTCTGCTGCTTTCCCAGGCACATTAGCAAGGAGCTGGATCGGAATTGGAGCAGCCAGGAGACAAATCGGCACCCACAGGGGACGCCAGCACTGCAGGTAGTGGCTTCACCCGCTACGCCATGGGGCCAACCCTGGTTCCAGGTCTTAACCTCTCATAAGAGGGACTCGATTTCAGCATGAGTTTCAGAGGGACAAGCCACAGCGCGGGAGAGTGCAGGGGTGCAGAGCCGGACTGGGCCCTCTCACAAGGTTCAGGGAGGAGGGCCATCCGAGCCGGGCCTCGCAGCAGGCTGGGTGGAGAAAGGCAGGCAGCCACGGCAGGGTTCTCACTCAGGCCTGGGAGCAGCAAGGGCCTGAAGGGCCGGGTTCCCTGGCGTCAAGGGAAGTGGCAGGTGACAAGGCTGGGCCAGCGCCAAAGCAGAACACGGGTCAGTGCACGGTGAGAAGTCAGGCTTTACTCAGAGGGCGGGGCTGAGCCACGAGGCCTTCCCACAGGGCAGGGGCTGGCCATGGCAAGTCTGGCACCTTTCAGAACAATTGCTGAGCCTCAAGCATTAAGAGCTTTTAGGGCCTAGGATAGCTGCAGACAGGAGCACGAACACAGGGCGGGGGAGGGGAGGGCTGGCAATGCTGTGGGGTCTGCGCCCCTGCAGCAGCCCCTGTCACCGAGCCCTGTCCCTGGGCCCTGCCCGCTGTCTGGCCCACTCCGCTCCTCCCGCCTGTCGGACGGGTGATTCCTTCTCACTTCCAGCTCCCAAGTCTCCCCCGAGGGCAGACCTCCTTTATGAGGGCCTGCATTGTGGCGTAGTGGGTAAAGCCACTGCCTGTGACACTGGCATCCCACATGGGCGCTGGTTCATGGGGCTGCAGCCTGGGGCCGGCAGGCAGGAAAGAGCGGGTGTCCTGTTCAAAGGCCATCGGGCACGAGGGATTTTCTTGCTTGGAGCACGGCGCTCGCTCTCTCCTGGCCGCCGCTGCCTGGATGAGGCCTGGCTGGACAGGGAAGGGACGCGGCTTCACGCAGTCTGTGCAGCCAAATGGGAGCGGGATCCAGAACCCACCCCCTGCCCATGCCCTGAGAGTGACACCTGCCCAGCATCAGGGCACCCACAGCCCAGGCAGTGACACGTGACATTGACCTCACAGGGCCACCTCCTGCACTCGGCACCCCACACAGCTCCTTGGCATCCTGATCCCATGGCATCCATATAAGAACGGGGAGTTGGGTCTTCAGGGAGACGCCAGGGACAGAACGGTGATTATGTGTAGCGGCAGCAAGAGGGTGGCCGCCTGCAGGCCCAGGAAAGAGGCCACAGGGGCACCAGCGCTGCCGGCATCTAAGGAACAGAAACAGTTCCTACGCCGCCCGTGTGCGGGCTGCTCGGCCACTGCCGGACAGCACTGCCCTTCCACGCAAGGAGCGCCCCGTGCATGCCCTCGGCCGGCTCCGTCCACCCCCTCCTCCTCCCTGGCCTCCAGGCCCCCTTGTTCCTCTACAGGCAGGGGAGGCTCGGCTGGTGCTTTTCAGCCATCAGCCCGATGGCCAGGGATGATGGGGCCCCAAGAGCTTCGGGGTGCTTCTCTGGCCAGCCTTCCTGGGGGAGCGCCAGGAATCTCTGTCCCCAAGCCTGGGACCCTGGCCTGCAAAGTGTCGGGTGAGGGGCCGAGCGAAGGCGCCAGGAAGAGGCTCTGGGAGCTGGCAGATTCCAGCCCGTGACGGCCCACAGCCCTGCAGGTGGGTCCTGGGGTCACCAAGGCCTGGAGTGGGGATGCAATTGGCGAAGCCCCAGGGCACTGTCACGCCAATTGGCGAAGCCCCAGGGCACTGTCACGCCAATTGGCGAAGCCCCAGGACACTGTCACGTCGTCTCTTTCATCCGCTCTGTCCTTCTTGCCGGCTGCTCACAGCTGTGCCCTCCTGGCTGACTTGGGAGACCTCTAGGGCGTGGAGGTATGGCTAGGAGTTGAGCCGTGCCTGACCCCTGGGAGGCGTCCACTTGCTGTTTTCACCTCTCCAAGTGTCCCGTGGCCGGGGTGATGAACCACACGTGGTCTCCTGGGGGAAACTGGGCTGTGATCGGGAGCCCTAGGCTGCAGGCTGGGATCTGGCCTCACAAAGGAGTGGCCCAGTGTCCAGCCAGTGGGTCCTGGAGGTTGGCTTAGTCAGGCGAAGCTAGAACATGGTGTAGGAAGAAACAACTCGCACATTGTAGTGACTTAAACAACGAAGGTTTATTTCTTGCTCATTCTAAGGAGCCACTGCAGGGCGGTGGGGTGGGCCTGGGCTTCTGCTCACTGGGGTCCCTTAGGAGCCCGGGAGGGCAGAACAGGGCGTCCACTTCAGGCAGGGGGTGCTTCTATGCGGGCTCTGCTGGTCCCTGCCTAGAGTGCCCCTCCCCACTTCTGCTCACCCCACTGGCCACAGCCAATCACCCTCGCCTCCCAGTGGGTGCCCCAAAGAGGCCTTCGCACATGTGAGAGCAGCCCTGGGTGACGCGGAATGGCTGGGAGTAGAGGGCGTGGTCCTGGCACACAGCAGGTGCGGGCAGTGCAGGCTCAGCACAGCTGGCCCTGGGAGCCTTGTCCCCCTGCCTTCACCTGTCCCAGCAGATGGTGACACTCACTCACCCCCACCTCAGTAGTCTGCAGGGACAGCAAGGGCAGCCTGGGGCCAGGCGAGAGACCAGCAGGGCCGCAGCGGGGGATGGGGGAGGAGGGCGGGATTGTGTTGTACTTTCAGGAACAGAGAAGAAGAAAAGTGAAGCGAGGACAGCGATGCACTTAAAAAAGAGAAGGCAGCAGCCAGGAGGCCCCGCCTGCCTCTCCTGGGAGACTGGGACCCCTGGGAGCCTGCCTTCTGCAGAGTGGGCCTGCGAGTGCCACACGCGGTCAAGATCAAGGCTCCAGGGAGGGCAGCCTCAGCCAAGGCAGCTTCCCAGCTGGGCATCAGAGAGATGTCAGCGGACAGGACTTGTGGTGGGGGAGGAGCAGAGGCACCCCTACCCCGGCAGAAACACCCTGGGTCGCAGGCTGTGGCTCTCTCCCCGCAGTGCCTCCACCAGGCCGCACTGTGCCGGCTGCCCCTGCCCGTGCTCGCTGCACAGGCTGCGCCCCTCGGTGCCGGGACAAGGAGGGGCACCGGGAATTGAGAGTGAAAGGATGCGTGGTGAGGCGTGTGAGGTTCAGCATTCATTCCTCCGGCGCTAACAGGCCAGGCAGAGGCCCCTGGATCTGCAGGCGGACGAAGCCTCCCTGGGCGGCTCCTAGACGCTGACAACTCAAGCCCCTAGATCCAGCCCAGACGCCAGGAACGCCCAGGCCAGAGCCTGAGCTTGCTAAACTGCCTGGCCCAACCCGAGAGCCCAGGCGCTCAGCTGGCCCCGTCCCCGGTGGCTACAGCTCAGATGGCCGCACAGAGCCTCGGGATGTGGTTCTGGGACCGCACCCCTAATTCACTAGGTCCAGGGATACCCCGATGCCAGTTTTCCCGAGAGAACCAGCTCCCTGGCTCTCAGAAACACCCAGAATGTTCCCACACCCTCGGCTGATTCTTCCCTCCCTGATTCTCTGGGGAGTGGGCCATTCCGGGCGCTGGGAGACAGAGTACCCCCAGCATTTACCTCCTGGGGCCTCGGTGTACCCTGGGTAAACATGGGCTCCCTCTATACTACCTCACATTACAGAGATTCAGGGACTGTGAACGTTAAAGCTCTGCTGGCCTCTGGAAGACAGGGACTCCGTCTTTGTGGTTTTGTCCTCTGGCGTCCCATCGCCCTGGAACCTTCTAGAATGTGCTGCATAGGCCAAACGAGAGAGGGGCAGCCAGGGACTGGTGGGGGTCATCAGGTGGAGGCCAGGCCTGGGAACACTGCACCCAGGCAACTGTTTCCCATGAGTGCCTTTAGCGCAGAGCGAGACCTCTCAAAGCAGCTGGCCACCAAGGTGGGGGCCTTGGGCCAGGAGCTCCGGGAATGCCCAGGGCTGGCCCCGGAGGGGAGGGCATCTGGGCAAAGGGGCCCCTCAGAAGTGAGGCGTGGCCTGCAGGAAGGGCCTCCAGGCGTGGGCCACCCTGGGCACCAGGCCCAGCTGCTCGAGCTGCAGCCGCGTGGGCCTGTACACGTTGAGGTTGCTGTAGAGAGCGGGCGGCCCGTCGTGAGGCCTGGGGGAGAACGAGGCCCCCCAGGGGCTGTGGTAGGGCTGAAACCTGGGGGGCGGGGCTGGGCTGGGGGCCAGGGGACTGGCAGGCCCCGAGGACGCGGCCAGGCTCTGGTTCTGGGGGTTGCTGCCCGTCGAGGGGCTGCTGAAGGGGTCGGAGGCTGTGCGGTCGCTGGTGGAGCTGCTGCTGCTACTGAGGCCGCCGCGGGGAGGGCTGGGGCCGGCTCTAGGCTGCAGGGGGGCCGCCGGCCTGGGGGACTTGGGGCCCATCACGGGCTTCGAGGAGGCGTAGAGGTGGCGGAACTCCTCGTCAAACGGCTCCACTGCCTGGCCCGTGAACTTGGACAGAATGTTCCGGTGGACGTGTCCGCAGAGCCAGGTGAAGCTGCCGGAACAGAACACAGGGTGAGCGTGAGGGTGAGAGCCTGGGCCGGGCCTCAGCTGCAGACAGGAGCTGAACGGGGAGGGCTGGGCTGCAGTTTCAGGAAAATCAAACATCCCGGGACTGGCACTGTGGTGTCTCGGGTAAAGCCACCATCTGGGATGCCGGCATCCCATAGGGGCGCCAGTATGAGTCCCGGCTGCTCCTCTGTTGATCCAGCTCCCTGCTACTGCGCCTGGGAAAGCAGTGGAAGATGGCCCAAGTGCTTGAGTCCCTGCATCTACATGGGAGACCTGGAAGAAGCTCTCGGCTCCTGCCTGCAGCCTGACCCAGCTCCGGCTGTTGTGGCTGTCCGAGGAGTGAGCCAGCGGATGGAAGATCTCTCTCCCCTTCTAACTGCCTTTCAAATAAATAAAATGTCTTTTTAAAACAAGTAAACAGAACATCTTGACCCATGCGGTGAGAGGGGAGACAGCGTCACGTGTTGCCTGGGAGGAAAGGGACTGCAGGGGGAGGAGCCAGAGACCGGGCAAATGCAGTTTATGCCAGAAAGTCACCCAAGCACGCCCCCCACCCCCGCCCTCCACTGGTGGGTGCTACATGCAAACAAAATGCTTACGCCACATCTGTATCACTTAGGATTCCACAACTTAACCCAGGTCTTCCCTGTAATGTGATGGAGACCTCCCTTCATTGTCCTTTCTCCCAGTTACTGAAAGGCTGGGGACAGCATGGACACAGCTGGCAGGACCATCAGGCTACAGGTCCCCAGGAGACCTGCTCAGGAGAACCCCTGGGAGGCCAAGGAGGGCAAGCAATGGTGAAGGGGTGGTCGCAGGGGAGGGGAACTGGGTAGACAGGGGCCCACCACAGACGGGGCCTCTGCTGCCCGTCCCTGCCACTCTCCTGAGAGCAAAAGGCCTGGCCCCAGCAGTCAGGGTGGGGCCCACACCAAGCGGGGGTTATTCCAAGAACAACAACGAGGCTCTGTTTAAACCTCACCTCCCGCCCAGCAGCCGCCCACACCCCCAGAGAGGTGATGGCAGTGCTGGGCACCAGCCAGGTGGTAGGAAGGAGGGAGCCAGGGTTGAGGGCCTGGGCTACAGAGCAGCTCTCCCAACCCCTGGCTTGTGTGGCCAGGCTGGATTAGGCCACGCTGCTGTGCGTGGTGCTCAGTGAAGTCCAAATTCACCCCAGGCCCTGCTGCCCCGTGCCGGGCACACCGGCCATGTCCTGCCATCATGCGCTTCTGCGCTGACACTGAAAGATCGTGACTGTGGGAAGAAACACATTTTGTGTCTATCGGTTTGGGGCCCTTAAGTACACAGCATACAGGTCGTCATAATCCTTGGCTCTCCACCCGCTCCTCATTGGTTGTTCCTGGCCCATTTTCATTTATTTGGCTACTTAAAGATTTATTTATTTGAAAGGTAGAGGTAAACACATACACACGAGGAGAGAGAGAGAGAGAGAGATCTTCCATCTGCTGCAGGTTCATGCCCAAATGCCCCAAATGGCACCAACAGCTGAAGCTGGGCAAATCTGAAGCCAGGAGCCAGAAGCTTCTTCTGGGTCTCCCACAAGGGCGACAGGGGCTCAAGCACTTGGGCCTCTTCTGCTGCTTTCCCAGGCACATTAGCAGGGAGCTGGATTGGAAGCAGAGCAACTGGGACTCGAACTGGTGCCCACATGGGATGCTGATATTGCAGGCAGTAGCTTAACGCCAGCCCCCCACTTGGCCATTTAATTAGTTAATTTAAATGGTGTAGGAAGCACCTAAGAAGTTCCCGCCTAAAACAAATGCTAGCATCTTGCCATGAGGTCCTTCCCCGCCCGCCACCCCTAAGGATCCCTGAGCCGCAGGAAAGCAGCAGCATAAATCCTTTGCTTTCCTTTTTCCAGAATTAAAACAATCGTTGTATGTGTTTTTGAAAGTAAAATTCTTCATTGGAGCCTTTTTTTAACATACGTGGACTCTCCTGGGATTGCTTTTCATTTAGTCTCATTTAGTCTTATGTTGCCAAGATTTCGCCACACTGTTGCTTCATTTTTGATCATTGCATAATACTCAATGGCTCATTCATCATATCGCATCACATCATCACCCCGCGTGGAGAGGCAGGCCGGTTGTTTCTGTGGTGAACAGCTTTGCATGTTCTCATACACGTGTCCTACCACACATGGGGAGGAGTCTCTCTTAGAAATCCTCCTAGGTCTAGGAGTGGAGTTGCTGGGTCACACACCAGGTGCACACTCAGCCTTAGGTGAAAGTGCTGAACGCTTTCCAAAGCCGTCGCCCACCTGCAGCTCCGTCAGCGGCGCCTAACAGACCCCCTCGGTCTGGTGTGGGCTTGCTGCGCCTTCTCATCTCTGAGCTGGCTGCACGGTGCACAATGGCAGCTCCTTTCAGGCTCGCCTGCCTTCTCCTGAGCCCTGACTGCGCTGGCCAGCGTTCCAGGGCATCGGGCCGCACGGGGTAGCACCGTGGGGAGAAGTCCGCTCCGCTCTCTCACCCACTTCTCTGCTGGGCTTTTGTGAGTCCAGGAGTTCGTGGTGATTCTGGCCATCCTCTCCTGGGGAGCTCATCCTGGACGCCTGCTCCCAGTGGCAACCGCACCTCCCCCTTGTTCGGGGCGCCCCTCGGGGACTGAAGTTCTCGTTATAATCAGTTAGGCTGAGCAGTCTCAGACAGTCAATGCTTTTTGTACTTTAAGGAATGGTTGCTAATGCAGTCATCATCTGTGATTTCTACTAAGTTTTAAAGTTGCTTGGTGATATTTAAGTCCGTTTCATGTACTGGGAGTTGATTTTTTTTTTTTTAAGGCAGAATTACAGAGTCAGAGAGAGAGAGAGAGAGAGAGAGAGAGGGAGGTCTTCCATCCACTGGTCCCTTCCCAAGGCTGCAATAGCAGGAACTAGGCTGATCCGAAGCCAGGAGCCAGGAGCTTCTTCCAGGTCTGACCCTCGTGGGTTTAAGGGCCCAAGGACTTGGGCCATCTTCCACTGCTTTCCCAGGCCATAGCAGAGAGCTGGATCGAAAGTGGAGCAGCAGGGACTCGAACCAGCACCCATATGGGATGCCAGCACTCAGGCGGTAGCTCTACTCGCTATACCACAGCGCCGGGCTGGAGTTGATCTCTTAAAAACAGGAGTGAGGTAGGAACTCAGTTTTCCAGCTGGGGAACGGCTCACTTCCTGTTCCTCTCCCCACTGCTCTGCGTGCCCCGTCATGGGTGGCTCCCTTCCACTGGCTGGTGTGCCCGCCCCTCCGCCCGTGCCACGCTTGGTGACTGCAGCTTCGGGACAAGGCCTCTTCCCTGGCAGGGCAAGTCCTCCCTGCTTCTCTTGGCTCTTCATGGAGAGACGCCCTTTACCCTGGGACCTTCAATACACACAAAGCCACAGCTCGCAGACCCCCCTGCACCGCAGAGCGCCCTGGGATTTCTGCTCCAATCCATGGCGTTCTGTGAAGAATGCTGATGTCATGCGCTCCCTCCGTGCCCCATCCTGCTCCTGGAGGCAGCACAGCCACACTGCACGGCCAGAAGGTGTTGCGCTGATTTGACAAATGGCCACACACAATGGCTCAGGCACTGCACTGACTTCACAGCAGGAACGCACTCGAAAGGAAAACACCCATGCCAGCCCATGCCTTCGCTTGTTTGCAGTCTCGCCTAGACAGGCCCACGAATGCGCAATTACAAATCAGGGTGAAAGTGAGACATAGAGGACAGCAAGGCCCTGGGTGGGATCCTAGACAAGGCTCTGAGGCTGCGACCTGGAAACTGGCAGGAACGAGCCCTCCAGCACAGCGTCCAAGCAGCAGGTGCCAAGGCCCCGAGGCACGACAGACCCAGCATGGTGGAGGAGGGACAAAGATCCTGCTGAGACAGATGCCTTGGTAAGGAGGTGATTTTTTCTTTCTTTCTTTCTAGGAGCAGCATTGAAAGATGGAAGCAACTTGATCTCATTTGTAGGAGAAAGAAGCTCACAGATGGTGTTGTGGTCAGGGCGGGAAAGCCGGTTGGAAAGCTGCCTGGGTGTCATACTATTCCTGACTGTTCCTGATGCCTGATTTTTCACCTGTCACCCCCTGAAATCTTTCTCATCCTTCAAGTCCCAACTCCACCCAGGGCACCAACGTCCCAGATCTGCCAGGCAGCAGTGGGGGCTTCCCTTGGCTGACCCCAGGGCCCTTCCTTAGCTCGTGCTGGTCTTAGAACGCATACCTCTCCATGGTGCGGCCACGGGCCTGTGTTTGCAAGAAGAGTAAAAAGGGGTCCCCTGTGGGGGTCTAACCCCCTCAACAAGCCTTAAACACTGAAATGCACAGCCCCACGCCTCCAGCCTGGGGGCCAGAGAGCAGAGCGCTGAAGTCGGGTTGAAGGGCACCGCACACAGCCACAGGAAAGGGTTCTGCCTCCCGCCGAAGAGGCTTCCGACAGCTGTCAGCCAGAGGGCGGCCGGGGCAGGCGGGCGGCCAGGCTGAGGGCTTCTCCAGCGCCTTCCCTCCGATAAACCCTGCAGGAGCGGTGGGGATAGGAAGAGCCCTCCCCTCGGAAACAGCGCTCCAGAAACAGCAAAACGAGCCGCCGCCGCCGCCTCCTGGAAGCAGCAGCTCTCTTCTAGGTCATGGGACCACCGGAAAGCAAGGTCACAGCACTTGCGACAGCAGATTGAAGCTTATCCAGCTTCATAATGCTACAAACCGGGGTGGGGGCACTTTGGCCTAGCCCTCCAGGTGCTGGCTTCCCATATCCGAGGCCCTGGGTTTGAGTCCCAGCTGCACTCCTGCCGTTGCTAACCCCGGGAGGCAGGGGTAACGGCTTCCCCACCTACATGGGAGACCTGGATTGAACTGCTGGCTCCCAGCTCTGGCTGGGCCCAGCCCTGGCCATGGAGGCCACTGGGAAGTGACCCAGTCAATGAGAGATCCCTATTTGTGTGTCTGCCTCTTCCTCTGTCAAATCAATAAAAAAAAAAAAAAAAAAAAATCAAAGCCAAAGAAGAAACGCAAAGGGCCAGCCAACAACCTTGGTCACAGGAAAATACAAATTGAAACCACAAGAACACAGCATTTCAAAGCTCCTGGGGTGGGTGCCATCGAGAAGACCCACATGGGGCTGGATTTGGCCAGGAGTTAAGTCAGTGCTTGGGACACTCACAGCCGGTGTCGGAGTGCCTGGTTCCAGTCCATCTCCTGCACTTATGGCCCAACCTCCTGCCAGTGTGTAACCTGAGAGGGAGATGGTGGTGGCTCAAGTAGTCGGATTCATGCCACCCATATGGGAAATCCAGAGGGAGTTCCAGGCTCCTGACTCCAGCCGGGCCTAGACCTGACTGTTGTGGACATCTGGGGAGTGAACCAGTGGGTAGAAGGTCTCTCTCTCTCTGCCTTTCAAATACAATGGAAATATACAAATAAAAAAATTTAAAAATAGCAAGCGTTATGTAGGATCAGAGAAATTGGAACTCTCATACACTGTTGGTAATAATATAAAACAGTACAGTCACTTTCAAATAAAAATCTGGCAATTCTTCAAAAGAATTACCATTATTGGCCATCAATTCCAGTGCTAGGCATACACTCCAAAGAACTGAAATTATACCCGACCAGGGGCCAGCACTGTGGTGCAGTGGGTTAAAGCCCCGGCCTGCAGTGCCAGCATCCTTATATGGGCGCCGGTTCTGGTCCTTGCTGCTCCTCTTACAATCCAGCTCTCCGCTATGGCCTGGGAAAGCAGTGGAAGACGGCCCAAGTCCTTGGGCCCTGCACCCATGTGGGAGACCTGGAAGAAGCCCCTGGCCCCTTCCTTTGGAAGGGCTCAGCTCCAGCTGTTGCGGCCATCTGAGGAGTGAACCAGCAGATGGAAGGCCTCTCTCTCTCTCTCTCTCTCTCTCTCTCCTTCTACCTCTCTGTAACTGTCTTTCAAATAAAAAAATTTTTTAAAAAGAAGATATATCTGTCCAATAAAGTTCCATGTTGAGTAGTCAGAGCAGTATTACTCATAAAGGCAAACAAACAAACAAAAACCCAAACAGCCATCAAGTGGCTGTGAATAAGTACAACGTGCATGTCCATCCAGTGGTATGAACTTGGAAAACATTTTGCTAAGTGAAGAAGCCAGTCACAGCAGAGCACCTATCATATGATTCCATTCACATGAAATGCCAAAAGCAGGCAAGCAGAGACAGAAAGTGCGCTAGTGGTTGCCCAGATGTGGGGTGTTGGCTGCTATGGATATGGGATTACTTCCTAGGTCATGACAACGTTTGTTTTTGTTTTTGTTTTTAATTTGACAGATACAGTTAGACAGTAAGAGAGAGAGAGACAGAGAGAAAGGTCTTCCTTGCATTGGTTCACTCCCCAAATGGCCGCTATGGCCGGCGCTGTGCTAATCCGAAGCCAGGAGCCAGGTGCAGGTGCTTCTCCTGGTCTCCCATGGGGTGTAGGACCCAAGCAGTTGGGCCATCCTCCACTGCACTCCTGGGCCACAGCAGAGAGCTGGACTGGAAGAGGAGCAGCTGGGACTCGAACTGGCACCCATATGGGATGCCGGCACTGCAGGCGGAGGATTAACCAAGTGAGCCATGGCACCGGCCCCAATGTTCTAAAATCGAATGCAGTGATGATGGCCCAACATGGTGACTCTGCTAAGAAGAACTGAACTGCACACTTTAAGTGGGTGAATTGCCTGGTGTGTGTGCTTCAATAGATCTCACTGAATTTGTTATATGAAAATAAAAACTTTTTTAAAAAATGGTAATTTTAAAAATGACCGGGCACGTGCACTCCACAAGGCAAACTGCACTACTTTATACTCAAACACAGGAGATCTGAGGAGAGGAAAGGGGAAACCGAGACACCTGGAATTACCTCTCCCCCCACCGGAAGTCCTCCCAGGAGGCTGCGGGGCCGGTGCTGAGTGAGGGTTCCAGCCGCGGGAGCTGGCCAGTGTCCTCACAGCCCTGGGCCTCCGGGAAGCCTGACAGGAAGTGAAGGGGGCGCTCACCTGTATGATCCAGCCAGGACCAGTCTCCAGTCCGAGATGATGAACTTCTCCTGGATCTGCCCGGCGAACTTCCGGCCCGACTTGGCACAGTACACCTCCCCTTGCACGCTCCGGACACACATGTTCTGCGGGAAGGGAAGTCAAGCTGTGTGTGCAGATTTGCACGCGGGCTGTAGACCCAAGGGGCGCCGGCACCCGCGGTGACGGCAGGAGGAGGTTGGCTCTGGGGGTAAACAGGCCACAGTGGCACAGCCCTTGGGGATGGGATTAGTGTCCTTACACAAGAGACCCCAGAGAGCGCCCTCACTCCTCCGGCTGTGTGAGGTCAGCGAGAAGGCGGCCATTTCAACACGAAAGTGGGCCCTTACCACACACCACGTCTGCTGCCGCCTTGGTCTTTCTGGGGCTTCCCCACCTCCAGACTATGAGCAATAAACCTCTGTTGTTTTTAAGCCTTTCAGGCTATGGTTGTTTTTGTTTCGTTTTGTTTTTAAGATTTATTTATTTATTTGAGCAGTAGAGTTACAGGCAGAGAGAGGGAGAGACAGAGAGAAAGGTCTTCCATCTGCTGGTTCACTCCCCAAATGGCCGCAACAGGACCAGGACAAAGCCAGGAGGCAAGGAGCTTCTTCTGGGTCTCCCACCTGACCATCTTCCACTGCTTTCCCACGCACATTTACAGGGAGCTGGATCAGAGTGGAGCAGCCAGGACTCGAACCAACACCCATATGGGATGCCACAATGCCAGTCCCCAGCCTATGGTATTTTTGTTTATTTATTTGAACGCTGAGTTACAGAGAGAGAGAAGGAGAGGCAGAGAGAGAGAGAGGTCTTCCATCTGCTGGTTCACTCCCCAATTGGCCGCAATGGCAGGAGCTGCACTGATCCAAAGCCAGGAGCCAGGAGCTTCTTCCAGGTCTCCTACATGGGTGCAGGGACCCAAAGACTTGGGCCATCTTTGACTGCTCTCCCAGGCCACAGCAGAGAGCTGGATCAGAAGTGCAGCAGCCAATACTCAATCCGGTGCCCATATGGGATGCCAGCACTGCAGGTGGCAGCTTTACCTGCTACGCCACAGCACCGGCCTCCAGCCTATGGTATTCGACAACAGCAGCCCAAACAGGCTACAACAGTTTGCATAAGGAGCACTCTGGAAGAATTTTCACCAAGATGTAAACATGTGTTATCTCTGGTGGTGGGATAACGGCCATGTAAACGTTTCCCTTGGCTGAATTTTCTAACTTTTCTTCATTGTCCTGGCGTTCACTGGCCATGTAAAACAAGGTAGGAGGTAGAATTCCAACGAGGTTGGAAATAAAAGAAAGACAAGGGCCTGATGATAGTCAAGCCCCCAGCCAAGGCCCCTGTGGACCATAAGATGTTTGGCAATTACTCGGGGGCAAACCCAGCCTTTCCTTGTGAGTGGCCTTGGTGACAAGTCTCTGACCCTAAATTGGCCAGCGAGATGGCCCAGTGTAGCCAAAAGGGTGGCTTTGTGGAGTGGACCCTCCCCTGTCCCACAGCTCACATCACAGCCTGATTTGCGCCCTGCGTCCCCAGCAGTACCTGCTCAGGCTGACTGGAGAAACGAGAGGGCAGGGGAGGGCAGGCGCAGGTGGAGGAAAACAGTCAGGAGCCCATGAACGCCCAGGGGTGGCCCCGCATCTCCAGGAGGGGCAACCCCGTGCCGGCCTCTCTGTATCTCCAGGAGGTGGAGGGAGGAGGGACGCAGCCCATCGCGCTGTGGCGAGCACAGGACAGGACCGTCAGCTGTGGCTGGTCGTGGCCACGATGACAAGGCCAGCTGGCCCTGACTCCCTGGACCCTTCGCTGGCCACACGCTGAGGAGCTGGGACCCAGTGAGGGCAAGCAGAGGTCCTGAGACATCGTGAGCTCAGCTGCACGCAGCAGCAAGTGCAGGGGTGAGAGACAGGGGCTTCACCCTCGGCCAGGAGGCTCTCCCAGAGGCCGAGCTGCTGGAGCCCGAGTCCCCACGGAACCCCGTGTACCCCCTCCCCCCGCCACAGCTGTTTAGCTGGACCTGCTCATGAAAACCAGGGGCTTTTACATTTGCCCTTGACTTCGCTGCTCCTCAGAGCCAGTGACAAAATGAACCCTCATCTCTGGGTCTCTTCTTCCTGCCAGGAGAGGGGTGTGAGGCAGGGGTGGGGGCTAGGCCAGGGTGATTAACTTCCTGTCGGGGCCAGGGCGTTCTCCGCGGTATGCACCAGGTCCTGTGGGTTGCCCCTGCCCTGTGAGTACTTCCGCTTCCCCAGCTGAGGCCAACATGGCTGGGACACCGCTCACACACACCCTGCATCCAAGGCAAGGTCACTGGGAAGTAGGGAAAAGCTCTTCCAGGTCAGATGCTGAAACTCCCCACAGGATCCTGTCTCCCTGTCGCTGCTTTTTGGAAGCCACGAGCTCCTGTGGCAGAGCCCAAGACGGGAGAGGGCCATGCGACCTGAACAGGGTTTTGTGCGTGAACCGGCGTTGGCTCCCACGGCTCCGCCGACCCTGCGGGCTCTGCCCGACACCAAGCACCCGGAGAGGCCGCCCACGGGGCCCTACCTTGAGGTGGCCATCAGAGATCTGCACCTTGTCACACATCTCCTGGAACAGCGCCACGCCCCCCTGGTCCAGGAGCACACAGACGAACACCCCGCGCTTGAGGGCCGCTTCTAGAAGGTCACAGAAGATCTCCACGTCGGTGAAGACATCCATCAGGATGGCCAGCACCTGACAGGGCAGACAGCGTGGTCACGGAGGAGTCGGGGCCAGGTGCCAGCCCAGGGGCCCGCGAGGCCGGTTCCCACTGCTGCTCTGTCCCCAGCAAAGGGGGAAGGTAGCAGTGTTCCTGCCGCCGGGCGCCCTCGCCTCCTGGGGGCCAGCAGCTCCCCAGTCCGGCTCGAAGGAATCGCTTCTACCTGGCAGTCCACGTGGTTTGGATGGGATGACTGCCTTCCTCTGATTGGGCAAGGGGAGGGCACATGACCAATGCCAAACCAATGAAAACGCTGCAGCTCCTGCTGGCCGCAGAGATTGGTCCGCGGGTGGTCACATGATCTAAGTTATTCTAATGAGAAAGAGCCCGGGACTTTTGCTGGGCCCCAGCGGGAGAGGAGGCGGTGTTACTGCCCGGTTGCGGTTTTTGGTAGATTATGAACGACACCTGCTGGCCTCTAGCGTCTACAACATGGGGAGAGGGGGCCAGGAGGTGGAGGAGACCCCGCGGCATCATTGGAGCATGGGGGTCCAGTCATGCCTGAAGCCAGTTCTGCCCCTGACTTTTCCACGTGGGTATCAATAAATGTCCGTCCTCTTCCTCTTAAGCTCGTGTGGGTTTATTTTCTGTCATTTCTTTCAATTAAGAATCTGTCCTAGTTTTTAATCTGTAATACATCGGTAAGCAGGCTATTAGGCAGCCACTGAAAACAATAGGCATCATGGGAGGGTGGGCATTTGGCCTAGTGGTTACGGTGCTGGTTAAGATCCCGCATCAGAGCGCGTAGCTTTAGTGCCCACTTCCGGCTTCTGACTCAGCTTCCGCGAATGCACACCCTGGGAGGCAGCAGTGATGACTCAAGCCCTTGGGTCCCCGCCACTCACCTGGGAGCCCTGGATTGAGCTCTCTGCTCCTGGCTTTGGCCTGCCCAGCCCTAGACGTTGAGCCAGGGATGGGAGCTCTCTCTGCCTCTTCCCTTGTCTGATTGCCAATCAATCCATAACATAATTGCTATGGTTAGGCAGAAGGTAGAAGACACAGTGAAATGTTTCTGGTCTGAAGTCAAATCTGCCGTGTAAGCACTTGATAAATGTGTGTTAAGAGTTAGTGAAGTAGGGGCTGGTGCTGTGGCGCAGCCGGTTAAAGCTCTGGCCTGAAGGGCCGGTATCCCACATGGGTGCCGGTTCTAGTCCCGGCTGCTCCTCTTCCGATCCAGCTCTCTGCTAATGCACCTAGGAAAGCAGTGGAAGGCGGTGCAACCCTACACCCATGTGGGAGACCCAGAAGAAGCTCCTGGCTCTGGCTCTGGCCTGGCCCAGCCCCGGCTGTTGCAGTCATTTGGGAAGTGAACCAGCAGATGGAAGATCTCTCTCTCTCTCTCTCTCTTGCTCCCTTCCTTTATTTCTGCCTTTTAGATAAATAAATAAATCTTTGGGGGGAAAAAAGTTCATCTTCTCATAAAAAGTAGAATTAATGAAGTGAAAAAAGAGAACAGGACACCAACTGGTAGTGTGTCCACTACAATTGCAAGTGAGCAAGTCTATGATTGCAGAGCGATAAGCCCAAGCCCAAACCTGCAGTCCCGTTAGAATCGGGAAAATGGCGACGGTTTCCCTCCCCTCCCCCACTCCCCGGTAACAATAATGCTCTGCCATCCTTTAATGACTGCATCGCATTTTTTAAGCCAGCAACATCTGGCTTAAAAGGGCAAGGAGGGTCCCTCACGGGGGGTCTGCAGGGGTGGGGACCTGCTGGGGAATGGCTTGCCCTGGGCAGAAGTCAGAACAGGCATTCAAATAACCAGCCTAGGATCGGTTAGAACCGCGTCCCTGCTGGCTCCTGATTAAGCATCTGGACGCGGTTAAGCTGAGGCCCTCCCTCTGCACCGAAAGATGCCTGCCTCCTCGTGCAAGGAATTGACCAAAGAGGCAATTGCCTTGGCTCAGTAAGTCCTTCAGCTTTTCCTAAGACAGGGTTAGGATCGGATGGACAGAGAGGGGGGCAGGTTTGGGAAAAGACCCCGCCTCCTGATTGAGGGATGCTGGGACTACAGGCTCAGGATGTCTGCCTCTTTCGGGACTGGCTCCCGGCTGGATGTAGCGGAGGTGTGTGCCTGGGTGGGGCCATCCATCCCCAGTCCCCTGTAAGCTGAGCTGCCTTCGAGGGCATGGTGGGTCAAACAGTGGTCCCCAAAGGTAGGTCCACAAGCTAACTATCAGGACCTGTGAATGTGACCTTATCCAGAGAAAGGGTCTTCGCAGCTGGCTAACTAAAGGATTTCAAGATGAGATCTTGCTGTGCTCCTAGGGGAGCCCTAAATCCAACCCCAAGGGTCCTCACAAGGACACCAGAAGACACGCAGAGAAGAGGAGGAGGCTGTGTGAGGGCAGAGGCAGAGCCGGCAGTGCTGCAGCCACAAGCCAGGAGCCGCCTGGAGCTGCCAGAAGCGGGGCCGGACAAAGAAAGCCCCTCTGCTCCCGCACAGCCCAGCTCTCAGACCCCTGATCTCAGGCCCCTGTCTCCAGAAGCAGGAAGGAATCCACGTCTGGGATTGTAAGCCACCAAACGTGCAGCAGGGTGGTGCGGTGGCCTCAGGAAGCCAGTCCCCGTGAGGCAGGGGAAAGGGCTCTGAGAGGGCCCTCTGCAGGCTGGTGCAGCTGGAAGCTGCTGAGTGCCCTTGGACAAGTCACTTAGCCTCTCTGGGCCTCAGGGTCTGCATCGACAAAAGACAGCACACACGTACAGCCTCAGGGGTCACGCAAGACAGGGTTCCTCCCCTGTGCGGATGCTGTAACTAGGCCCGCGCTATGGTATAGCAGGTGAGGCTGCTGCCTGCAGCCCCAGCATCCCATATGGGCACCGGTTCTAGTCCCAGCTGCTCCACTTCCGATCCAGCTCTCTGCTATGGCCTGGGAAAGCAGTAGAAGATGGCCCAATTCCTTGGACCCCTGCACCCACGTGGGAAACCTGGAAGAAGCTCCTGGCTCCTGGCTTTGGATCAGCACAGCTCCGGCTGTTGTGGCCATCTGGGGAATTGATCTCTCTCTCTCTCTCTCTCTCTTTCTCTCTCTCTCTGCCTCTGCCTTTCAAATAAATAAATCTTAAAAAAAAAAAAAAAGAGTACAGATGGCTCCTTAACATGTACAGACAGCGGGACTGTCACTTTGACACGCACCGCTCATGAGAACGCGTGGGCGGCGTGAGAAGGAGGCAAGGCTTACACACGGCGCCGGCTGCCGGAGGCCCACAGAGGACCAGGTACGGATTCTCCTCCCTTCCACGAGCTCGATGCCAGCAACGCTCGGGCATCCCTCTCAGCCTTCCCCATGCTTTCCCTGGAGCAATGCGTGGAGACGCGGCGCTTCCACCTGCCAGGAGATGCGAGTTCCTCAGGGCTGGGGATTCTACTGCTTTTGGAGCATCTTTTCAAGCAATCTTTTAAAAAATTTATTTTGCATTTATTTGAGATGGAGAGAGAAAGAGAGAGAGAGAGAGAGAGAGAGAGAGAGAGAGAGAGAGAGAAATTCCACCCACTAAATGCACACAAGGGCTGAGACCAGGAGCTAAGAATTCCACCCGGGTCTCCCAACATGGGAGGAAGGACCCCAGGTACTTGGGCCACCAGCTGCTGCCTCCCAGGACGCGCACCAGCGGGAAGCTGAGACTCGCGCTCGGGCACTCCGCCACGCGAGGGGCATCCCGACAGGCATCTTAACAGGTGCACCAACACCTCCCCTCCTTCCTCCTGACTCGCCGTTTCTGCTGAGAGCGGACCCTGCTCCCCAGAGCACTGTGCAGAGGGGCTCCTTCCGCCCTCTCCTAACCTGCCCCCCCTCCCCAGTGCCTCTTCTGTTCTCCAGCTCCCTGACAGCAGCCTGTGGCTGGGGATCCGGCTCATCCCCCCCCACCCCGCTACCCCCATCGCGCCCGCCCACACAACATCCATGGGAGCAGACCATCCCTGAGCCCCGGGCCTGTGTGCGTGTGCGTGTGTGTGCGTGTGTGTGCGTGTGTGTGTGCATCTGGAAGATATCACAAACTCTGCCTGCAGGTGCCTTGCAGGAGCACAAATGGCTGAATTGTCTTTGGGGGCCCAAGACGATAGAGAATAGTGGGGATTGCGGCAACCCGAAGAGGTGGCTACAACTCCGCTGCAGCAGAGCCAGGCCTTCCTACCCGCCAAGAGCAACTGGAAATGCCTGCTCTTCAGTGACATCCTCAGATTTCTAAGTGTCGTCCTAGAGGCATAACAAGCCGTGTTGGTGGGAAGGACCTCACGGGGCTCAGGGCCATGGGGGTGGAGGGGAGAGAAAGCAGAGGTGAGGAGTAGAGGAAGGCCAGCGGCTCGGCCCCTGGACGGGTCTCACAGCCCTAGCCTGGCTCCTTTCCTGCTGTCTCACTCAGCCTTCCAGCTCAGCTGCGGGTGAGAATTGCCTCAACAGCCCGGAGTCCCACTGCTGGGGGAGCTCTGAGCTTCACCCCTGGGAACAGGAGGGGACCCCGGTCCAGGGTGGGGCTGACACCTGAGAGGTGGGGTGGGGGAGACTTGCTGGTGTGGCCGCCCCAGACCCCACGAGCTCCTGGCTGACTGCCTGGGCCGTCGCTAGCTAATGCCACCCCGTCACCCAAACATGAGACACCGCACCCAAGCAGCCCGGCCACACCAGCAGCAGGCTGCAGCCCGCGTCCGCCTCCATGTAACTTTCCCCAGCACTCCCTCCTCTCCTGCCACGCGCAGCCTCTCTGCCCTCGGTGGGCTTTTTCTGGAACCTTAAATACTGACCTCGGGAGGAGACTCACTCGTGAGACTGGGACCCTAGCCGAAAAGGAGCTAAAGCATCAAGTTGCTTTTTAAAAAGTTAAAAAAAAAAGTAGCAGAATAAATAATTGTAGCGACAAAAAGAAACAAAATCACTCTTTTGTGATGCTGAATCTGACCACATGACAGGTGACGAATTTCTCTCCGGGGCGTCCCCTCTCGCCCCTGCGCCTGTCCAGCTGTGGATGTCCCCAGCCCTGTGTCACCGATGCTCATTTTGTGCACCTGGAGAGTGAAACCCCAGAGCGTGCGTCCCTCCCCGCCCATCCCCCAGTTGACAGAGGGGGCCGCTGAGGGCCTGAGGGTCAGGGACACTGAGAGAACTCGGGACTCGGCCTGCAGGGGGCCTGCAATGTTCCAGCCAAGCCCTGGTCTCCAAGGACTGTTCCTTCTTCTGAAGTCACTTATGAGGATTTACATCCTCTGGGGACAGGGACACTGTCGCTCCCTCTTTTGCTGGTGGGGTCTAGGCACCTGAGAGGAAAAGGGGTGAGGTGTGCCCCCAGGAAGCTACCCCGTCATTTGCAAGCACAGAGGTGGGGGGGTACCCGCCTGGGCAATTCCACGACAGCTCCCCAAGGCGCACGCGGGCTTGCTGGGGCCCGAGGCAGGAGGGGGCGTTGCTGGGGTAACACGCAGGGAAGGTGAGCTGGAACAGCCCTTGCAAAGGCCTGGAGGCAGAGCGTGGCGGGTTCGAGTAGCTGTGGGGCACTTGGATGGCGTGGGAAGAGTGCCCAGGCAGCAGGAGGGACTGGGAGCTGAGCTAAGGGCTTTGCTCTTTGTGCTGTGGGCAGCTGGGGGCGGCTGAAGACTCTGAGTGGGCTCTGAGCAGGGACTTGTGGCAGAGACAAGAAGCTGGGCAGCATGGACCCAGGGCGTCCGGGGGACAAGATGGGAGAGGAGGGCCAGGCGGGAAGCGGCGGCAGAGATCCAGTGGTGGGTGGGTGGTCTGGACCCAGGCCACGACACACAGGGTCAGGAGGTGAGCGTTCCAAGGGGAGACTGAGAACGAGGCCTTCACCTCCATCCCACGCCCCCCTCTCCTGAACGGCAGCCCTGGGAGCAGCACGCACCCCTCCTCCTGCCCTCCCAGCCCCGTCCCTCCTGCCCGCGACTACCTGGCTGCTCCGGGCGATGCAGCGGCGAACCAGGTCTCGCAGGTTGTTGTGCTTGTCCGTCTGGAAGTACACGGTGGCGCTGGACTTCTCCTGCAGGTAGGGCTTCTCGGCCGAGGCCCACGTGTGCAGCAGGGCTGGCTCGCTGCTCTCTGAGGCCACGGGGAAGTAGGTGTCTGACGGCAGCGAGCAGGAGTCCAGGCCCCTGGGACCTGCCTCAGCCCCTCCTGCAGGATCGGGGGCACAGGGGGGCTCCTTGGCCTGGGCCTGGATGTACTGGGCCTCCACCGAGGACAAGAAGTCCACCTCGCCTTCCTGGCTCAGCACCCGCCAGTAAGCCTCGGGTCCCCCGTCCAAGAGGGCATCTGTAGCCAGCCGGGCACTCTCATTGTCGCTGAAGTCGGCCCTGGCCGGCCGGACCCACTGGCTCTTGGCATCTTCCAGACGCTTCCGGATCTTGCCCACGTGCCGTGACCGGCTCATGCTGCCCAGTCCCAGGGAGGCTGACCCTGACGAAGGGACCACACCACGTATCAGGCCAGCCCTCCTGGGAGGCTGCCTGGAGGTGGTGTGTGGGCCTCCTGCCACCCTCCAGCCAGCACCCAGAGAAGCAACTCACTGTGCGGAACAACGAACAACACAGCTCAGGATCCAGGGCAGGGCTTATCTCAGCGGGACACCTCCCTGCCCGCAGGCTGGAGGCTGGCCCAGTCCCCGCCTTGGCACTGCCGGCCTGGGTTATTCCCTCCCTACCAGCTGGAGCCGGCTCTTCCGCTCCCCTGGTTGCACAACTCCCCTGGAGCTCGCAGCCCTGGGGCCCCAGGTACAAGCACGGAGCCTCCCCAGGCACCATCAGCCAGGCCATGGTTGGGCCCTGGGAGGGCTGCCAGCTCCTCTGCTCGCCTCCTGCACTTCTCAGCTCTGGCGCTAGGAGGCGCCTGTGGGAGAAGGGAGCTGGGTCCAGGCTCGGGGCAACTGTTCACCCTCTCCCGGTGACACCCCAGGGGCCCCCTGCCTGTCCCATGAACGTGCTCGTCTCCCCTCAGCTATCTGTGTTGTCTGTCATTGTCATGTTGGCAGATTCTGCAAAGTGCTTCCGGTTCTCGGGCTGACGCTGAGCTGTTGGGCTGAAGCGGAGGCTGCTTGGAGCTGTGGCTCCAGAAAGATCTGAAGCCGGGTCCTGGCTCCTGGACCCCTCTCGTGCTGGACGGGCGGGGTGGCGTCTGTGTCGGAAGCCGATGAACTCTAAAGGAGTGACTGTGTTTTCTTTCCAGGTCAGATCACACCACGGCCTGACTGTGGAAGGGAAGATCTGGGTCCTGAGTGTCTTCCACGGGGCTGTGCTGGAAGCAGGCCCTCAGGCTGGGGTTGGAGCACAGAGCTCACTGGCGGGAGATTCTGAGCTGCACTGAGCAGCACGTAGGGCAGACACAGGAAGGGGAGGGAGCCGGCGCGGGGTAAGTCAACGAGCAGGTCCCCTCTGCGGACGGGTGTGGGGACACCAGGGCCCAGCCCAGCAGGACCCTCTGGGCGACGGAATACAATACAGCCCAGAGTTTTCCTCCACAGAGGAGTTTATCCACCCATACTCATTCATCACGGACCGGGATGCCCTGGGGGGCCATGTTAAATCCCAGCCTTGTGTGTTCTGGGGAAAGCCCCCGGCAGCATGCCCCAGAAGGGGTGAGATGCAAGGTGAGATGCATCTCTGTGAACAGAGCCCCCAGGACACCTGCGGAGGAGCCGCCAGGATGCTGGGGTGGGTGGGCTGCCCAGAGCCATCCCCAGCCAGAGCCCAGGTCTCCTGGGGCGAGTGCTGCTCCCAGGAGAGGAGCTGCAGGCGCCTGGAAGTTGGCCGGCCGCGCCCCACGTGGCCCCGTTCAGTGGCACCCAGTATGTTTTGAACTGCATGCAAAGAGGAAGGGAGTGATTTAAAAGGAATTCCTTCTCCTTTTTTGAAAGACAGTGAAGAGATGCAGTTCACAGTCCTGGGCCACCCTCCCCTCCATTTCCTCCTGATCATCCCCGGAGCCCAGAGGGTACAGACTCAGTCAACCCCCTCTATCCACTGCCTCCTACGCTCCAGGCCTGCTCCCATCTGTCTTCCACCATCTCTCTCTCTCTTTAAGATTTATTTATTTATTTATTTTATTTAAAAGGCAGAGTTACAGAGAGAGAGAGAGAGAGAGAGAGAGAGAGAGAGAGAGATCTTCCATTCACTGTTTCACTACCCAAATGACTGCAAGGCCAGGGCTGGATCAGACTGAAGCCAGGAGCCAGGAGCTTCATCCAGGTCTCCCACATGGGTGGCAGGGACCCATCTTCCACTGCTTTCCCAGGCTCATTAGCAGGGAGCTGGATCAGAAGTGGAGCAGCTGGGACTTGAACTGGCACCCATATGGGATGCTGCAGCTGCAGGCAGAGGCTTAGCCTACTATGCCGCAGCCCCGGCCCCTTCCACCACCTCTTGCTCATGGAGATTGACACGAGCTCTGCCCCACATCCTCTGATTCTGTACACCTTTGTCCAGGCCCCAGTCTAGTGAGATGGGCTGGGGAGGGGGTAATAATCTGTAGCATTTGCTTTGCTTCACCCCATGATTCTTAAGCCATCCTTGACTCCCCAGTGCCTGCCAAAGTAAGTACTGAGTCCCAAGCCCAGCACTGGGACCCTGCACATTCCACCATGGACATTCCAGCCTGGCTTCTGTACGCGGCTGGCACTGCGTGCTCCCTGCACGGCAGCCATCTGATGGGTGGGAGGGAGGGGACTTCAGGTCTCATTTCACAGGACAGGAAACGAGGCTCAGGCAGGTGGAGCAGCTTGCTCCAGATGGCACAGCTGGTGACTGGCAGAGCTCAGGCCCTGGCACTTCCCCTGTGCTAGGCTCCACGCTACCCCTCCCGTCTCCACTCGCAGAGTGGATCAGGTCCTCTGATCCCACAGAGTGGCTCCCAGAGACCCCAGGGATTCCAGCAGTGCCCTTCAGAACAGTCGGCACATCTATCCCCCCAGCCCTGCACTCCTGCAGACATTACTAGTTGATGACAGAACTCTTTCCTCAGGAGCTGGAAATTACCCCCTCAGGGCTCTTTCTAGGGATTTGAAGACAAGTGATCTCCTGGAAGCAATCTGGAAGGAAACCCTTGGGTTTGCTGATGAGAAGATTGTGACCCAGGACGGGGAGTGATTGTTCCCAGTCACCCAGCTGGGCAGTGCATGAGTCCCTGCCTCCCCTCTCCTGGCAGCATCATCTTCCCGGCTGGGCTGCTGGCCCAGGAAGGCTGGGGCTGTTGAGGGACACATGCACACACTGAGGATGGGCGTCAGAGAGCCCCCGGCTACAGCACCTGTCGCTGGCTAGGACTTCGTGTCCCTTTTTCCTCCCTGTGGCCTCTAAGGTGTGTGTGTGTCTCCCTCTCGCGAGGTCACCAGTAACGGGGGACAATGAGAGGCCAGGTGCTGAGGCTTCCTGACAAGGCTGTTTCCCAAGAGCCATGGTTCTCCTGTGGGGGCCGTACTGGGGGGACTTCAGCCAGGGCCAGTGAAGTTTCTGGATGTTGCCAGCTGGCATTGGTGGGACCAGGCCGGGGAGGCTGCTGCACCCTGCCACACACAGGACAGTTGCCAGGAGAGAGCTGTCTCATCTGTGGTGCCGAGCCTGCTGGCCCAGAGCCCAGCCCTGGAGGGTGACTGACCCAGTCCCGGGGTGACTGACAGGGGGTGGGTACAGTACCCCCTGCCATTGCTCCGCCGTTTGCTCAGCAGGAAGTCACAATTTGTTCAAAGCTTTCCCAGCATGCAAGGTGTCTTCTAATCCCCCTCTGCTAGGGAGCTTTCCCGGCCACCCCCGGGGCAGCTGCCCCTGATCATTATGTGAGCTGCAAAGTGCTCCCAGAACGTGTCCCGCTCAGTCTTTTGCTAGTGATGGGGTCCTGCCTCGTCTCCCCTGCTTCTGATCCCTTGAGGACAAGGGTGACGCGCTTACCCGGACTTGCAGGGGCAGACTGTGCCGGGCTGATGTAGGCAACCTGAGGACCTCACTGAACTCCGTGTGTGTCGTCCCCGGAACAGCAGCTAACAGGGAGGGCGTCCTGAGTGTTCTAGGTGCTTTACGTGTGCTGTGTTAGCTCATTTAGCAGCGAGATCTAAGGGAGAGGGCTTGGGTGCTCAGTGCTCGTCCCTGTTTCTCTGCTCGGCTCCTGCACCAAGGAGGGGGTCCAGGTTTCTCCCGAGCGTGTGGCTCAGCCGCTGGCACCCGACGTGTGCAAGTTCATGTCCTGCCTTCCTGTGGCTTGGTGTTACTCAGAGCATATTTTCTGCATCATTAGAAATGTGCGCGCTTCCCCTCTCCACCCGCCGCTCCCTTCCCTTCTGGAACAATGCAGAGCTTCAGCTGCTGGGTGAGTCAGAGCAAGGTGAGCAGCCGGGGTGTCAGAGCCCAGGGCGTGCGCAGGTGCTGAGCGGGCCTGGTGTGTGTGTGTGGGGGGCTGTCCTCCCAGGGGGCACTCAGAACCAAGGCAGGGCGTCCAGCCTGGCGTGGGGCAGCCTGTGATGGGTCATCAGGACTCAAGCTGGGCGGGGTGGGCTGTGGCAGATTGGCTACTTACAGGGGCACTGATCAAGCAGGTACATAGTTTAAGGAGGTGGAAACCAGGCTTCTTACTGTCAGAGTGAGCAATTACAAGCACAACAGGAGGGGCAGGTGTTGTGACGCAGAGGGTTAAGCCGCGGCCTGTGACACCAGCATCCCACATGGGCACCGAGGTCCAGCTGCTCCTCTTCCCATCCAGCTCCCTGCTAATGTGCCTGGGAAAGCAGTGCAAGATGGCCCAAGTGCTTGGGCCCCTGCACCTGCGTGGGAGACCCGGAAGAAGTTCCTGGCTTCATTTTGGTCCTGCCCTGGTTGTTGTGGCCATCTGGGGAGTGAGCCAGTGGATGGACTGACTTTCAAATAAATAAAAATAAATCTCAAAAAAAAAAAAGTTCAAAGAAAGATGAGAATGTATCAAAAAGCAGCAGTGCACAGAAGAGGCTCCCACCAGCCAATCTCGGACAATTTGAGGATCAAAGTAAGGAGTTAATACAATAAATAAAGTAGGGACTATGAATCCATACTGATATCAATAAATATCTTGCAACTTTGGGAAGGAATAGAATTTTCTTTAGGTTTTTATATATTTATTTATTTATTTGAAAGTCAGAATTACAGAGAGAGGGAGAGACAGAGAAATCTTCCATCGCTGATTCTTTCCTCAAATGGCCACAGTGGCCAGGGTCCTAGGCCAGGCCAAAGCCGGGAGCCAGGAGCTTCATCTGCATCTCCCATGTGGGTGGCAGGGCCCAAACACTTGGGCCACCCTCTTCTGCTTTCCCAGGCGCCATTAGCAGGGAGCTGGATCAGAAGTGGAGCAGCCGGGTCTCCAACCAGTGTCCAAATGGGATGCCAGCACTGCAGACAGCTGCTTAAACTGCTTTGTCACAGCACAGGCCTCAAGATTGTAGTATTTAAATTGTTTCACATAAACGCCCCGTAAGTCACTTAATAGTTACAAAGGACCAACAAGGGGGCCAGAGTTGTGGCACAAGGAGTTAAACCAACACTTGTAATGCTGGCATCCTGTATCTGAGTGGCAGCTGCTCTACTTCTGA